ATCCTCGTCATCATCTTCATCATCTTCAGCATCGGAAGTTGAAAAGTTTGAAGATGCTTGCTTCTGTTGCTGCACAAACGAAAAGTTAATAGGCTTTGTTTCTGGTTTACTTTTTTATGAACATTTTTCGGTGCAAAAATTGTAATTTAGGTGTAATTTTTTGTTTTTTTTGAATGTTAAACGTTCATTGCTTGTGTTACCTTTTCGTTTGATGATGTTAATATGCATCTTATAAAAACAATAATCATACTTTTATTAGATGACAGTAAATTTCAAACAAGTTCTTATTATGAGTTACTTCATTCCTTTCCTTTAAGTTTTTGCTTTCTGAATTTTTTGTTTTTTCATTTTTCCTAATAATTTGATCTGCAGAGCAACTTTCTTGACATGCAGTCCTACCCACAATTGGCCCTTCTTTATTATAATGAAAGTAAAATTTTATTCACCACTGTATTTTGATGCTGGTTCACTCAAACGTTTAACTAGTCTTGTCCATTCTGCAGATTTTTATTTTTTTTTTAAGTTTACCTCTCTATGAACTCCCAATTTATTTAGTGCCGGTTTTGCTTAACACTTCTGAATTTTCAATTTTGAAGGATAGTTTTCATGATAATTTTATAGATCCTGCTATTATCTGTAGTTGTTTGCTTGATATTTGTTTTTCCTCCTTTTTTTATTGATAATTTGTTGACATTTCAGTACTATTTTTTTTCCTTCTACCTGATACTAAGTTTTTTAAAAATATATCTTCTGTGTTCTTAGCATATAAAATAAGTTGACATTGAGATCTAAATAAATTCTTGGGAGAATATGGTTAAAATTGTGGAGCGCTGTAAACATTTTTATTACATATTTTATAACAAAGATGTGATAAGAGAGGAAGATACAAGTTTTTAATAGCTCTCTTTTTGACCGGTAATTTTATACGGGGTAAAGAAACGTCGGGAATGTAATTAGTTCATTAGTAACTTTGCTTATAATTTGGCTTTAATGACTGAAATGGGACAACAATTAAATGAGACTTAGAAGAAATAATTTGTGATTTTTAAGTAGAAGAAATGGTGGTTAATTTGAACAAGATTATTTTAGATCATCGTTTTATGTTTTATTAAAAAATTATTTTAAAGACCTGAAGCATCTGTAGACAGAGGTGAAAGCACTGAAGGTAAAAAGAGGGCATGCATTAACAAAACTGATCAAGAGATTCTAACTTCAACCAACAATGTTTCAGGTGCCTGATGATTTCAATCTTGCTTCGATTTTATTTGTTGTTGTTTTTTTAACATTATTATGATTGCCTCGATAGGTACTTCAACATGCAACTCTTCTTCAGCTTGTGCTGCAGTCTTGTCGTTGGGATCAAAGTCTAGCCAACCAGCCATCAATTTAAAAAGGGACAGGGAAGCATTTTCTGAAAGTACAGCTTGCAATGAAGCCACTGATGAATCACCAAATGCATCTTTGCTTCCATTTTCGTCATCTTCTACGTCAGCAACAACAATGACGATAACAACAACAACAGCAACTACGACAAATCAATCGATTGTTTTAAATTCACTTGCACCACATAACAGAATCATTGCCAAAGGTTTGTTAAAATGTTTTGCTAAAAAGTGATTGAAAAATGAAACATAAAATTTAACGTTTGAAGGACATAGAAAACTGCCACAAAAGCCCAAAGTACCAACTGCAGATCAAGCATCATCATTTACTACCACAAACAACTTTGCAACAGTGAATTTACAGTTGACATCATTTGACTATACTTCTCCATTCACTGGAGTCCAACAACAACAGCAGCAGCAACAACAACAACAATCTCAATTTTTGCACAACAACAATTTTAACATGACTAACTCATGCAGTAAGGTTGAAATGGTGGCTCAGAAAAACTTTTTTGACATGTTATGTTATGAGGAAGATGCTGGTGTTCCCATATTTAAAGAAAGAAACACAAGAATTGAGCACGAGGAGATTCCAATCTTAAAGCACAAACAAATTATACATCACATTGACCCATTAAAGGTTAGATTTTTTTTTAAATTAAATTGTTTTAACATAGTTATTGTAAAAACCAAACTGTTTAGCATTTTATACAATTTTGATTTGGTTTTAAGAAAAATTGGACATTTGTTAAATATAGTGTGAATTATTCCAATGATGCAAATTTTTATATTAATGTGTTTTATAACTGGTGCACGTAAACAGAAATTTTGATGTTGCCCCAGTAATGAATTACGTTGTTAATGCTACAATATCTTATCTTTGGACTGATGTGATTCATCAAAAATGAATTAATGCTTTTAGCTCAATTAATTTATTCTTGCTTTCCAGTCTTTTGCTGTACTAAAACCTTTTTTATGCTTCTTCAGAACTTCGAAACTATAATTACCAGTATTTTATATTCTGATTGAGATAAATGTTAACAAATAAAGCATTGAAATGTGATTATTGTATTTGCATGACAAATATTTTGCAAGTTAAAAAATGTTTGAAGAAACACATAGCCAATTTAAAAACATAATCTAATAATTATTTTCATATATGCACTAAACAGTGAACTAATTTTACTCACTAGATGGATATTGTTCCTCCTGTTACAAAGTCTCAGTCAAAAATTGCAAGTGGTCATGCAAATTTAAATTCTCTGAGCATTCACCAGCTGCAAAATGTTAAACCGATGCAGCAAGAACTCATTCAGAAGGCCAAACTCTGGAAGCAGCAACAAGAACAGATTTTGAAAAATAGTCAACATTCATCACAGCAGCAACAACAAATGGGCATAAAAAAATTATCTAGTACAACTTCCATAAAAAATTTACAGGAAAACAATGTTGCTAAAATTGTTTACACCAAAGCCAAACAATTTACTTTAAATGGCGGAAAAAATGATGGAGGGAAACTTCTGTCATCCGTTAAAAAATTTCCTAAAACGTCAAACAGGATCTCTAGTCACAAGGAGCATAGAGATCAAAACAGGGACGTAACAACTTCCGTTTTTCCCACCATAGAAGTGAATGCTCAAACAGAGGCCAACCATGATACGGCTTTAACTCTGGCAAGTGCTGGTGGTTATTTTGAATTGGTATCATTGTTATTAACAAGGGGAGCCGATGTCGAACACAGAGACAAAAAAGGGTTCACGTCTCTAGTATTGGCCGCTGCAGCAGGTCACTTGCAAGTTGTTAATGTTCTCTTGGAGCATGGAGCTGATGTTGAAACACAACTTGAACAAACTAAAGATACTGCATTGTCATTGGCTTGTTCGGGGGGCCGACATGAAGTTGTTGAAGCTCTTTTAAGACATGGTTTGTTAATTAGTAGTGTTAAATTTATTTTTATATTGTTTTATAACATATAATTTGTAATTGTAATTGAACACACAGGTGCTGATAAAGAGCACAGAAATGCATCAGATTATACCCCGTTGTGTTTGGCTGCTTCTGGAGGACATGTTAGCGTAATCCGTTTACTGTTACTGCATGGCGCTGAAATCAATTCAAGAACGAGTAGTCGATTAGGAATATCCCCACTCATGTTGGCTTCTATGAATGGTCACACGGAAGCTGTAAAATTACTGTTGGACATGGGTGGTGATGTTAATGCTCAAATTGAAACCAATCGTAATACTGCTCTTACACTAGCATGTTTTCAAGGTAGACATGAAGTAGTAGAATTGTTAGCTGACAGAAAAGCTAATCTTGAACACAGGGCCAAAAAAGGTTTGACCCCTTTGATGGAGGCTGCTGCAGGTGGATTTGTGGAAGTGGGGAGGGTGTTGTTAGACAGGGGAGCAGATGTCTGTGCTGTTCACGCCAGCTCGACTAGAGATACTGCTCTCACTATTGCCGCTGACAAGGGTTAATTACATTGCTTAATTTTTAATAATTATTTTTTTTATTACAGCGTATACATTTTTATCATAAAAAAAAGGTCACTTCAAATTTGTTGAACTTCTGGTTTCACGGGGTGCTCCTGTTGATGTTAAGACAAAAAAGGGTCACACACCTCTTTGGTTGGCTTGCAATGGAGGCCATCTCGAAGTAGTTCAGCTGTTAATAGATTATTGTGCAGATCCAGATAGTTGTGATAACAGACAAATCTCATGTCTGATAGCTGCTTTTAAAAGAGGTCACGTAAAAGTTGTTCGTTGGCTAGTTCGTCATGTGACTCAGTTGCCTTCGGATCAAGAATGTGACAGATGCATGGCTCAGATAGGAAATGATAAAGATCTTCTGAAACGTTGTCAGCAGTGCAAGGAAATTATATACAACGCAAAAGAAAAGCAAGCAATGGAAGCTAATAAAATAGCCAATAGTCTTCTTCAAGAACTTGCTCAAGAACAATCAATTGTCGAAAGTAAAAAAGCAGCTGCTTTGAGGAAGAGACAAAAGCGTAAGATGAAGAAGAAAAAATCAAAAAATACATCAGCATTTGATGCTAATGATGAAAATGCAGCTTTGGATGAAGACAATCAAACTGATCTAAATGCATTGGAAAAGAGATCGACTGACAGCATTGAAAACAAATGTCTAACTGAAAAAGCATCAAAATTTAAAAATGTCCAGGTAGACCAGAGCAGTAAAAATAAGAAATGTGATGTTAATATAAGTATGAAAATTGATAATCAAACTACAGATCGAGATAAAAAATTAACCAACAGCATGAATGTTACTTTATCTAATGATCAATCAGAAACTAGCTCTTCAGATGATTCAAATAAGCTTGTTAAAAATTATAATCAACTGCCCAAGTCCACATCATTATCCGTAATCAATTCAAACACTTCCATTTATAGTTTGCATAATAGTCAATCAAACGATTCTTCAGCTGATATGAATTCTTTGGATTCTCTGACATCCTATGCTCTGCCGAGCAAACAATCATTTTTACTTTCAGATTACTCTACTATGTTAACAAACATTAGTGATTTGGATGATTTTCGACTGGAAAAAGAAACTAATGCTTCCCCTCTCCGTTCAACTAAAAATTTATCGTCAATGTTATCATCCCCATCTGGAGTGAATGCTGCAGCAGCAAATGAGCAGTTACTGCTTGTGTTATCTAAGGAACAATCAGATGTTGACTACCTGAATGCAGCTAAAAATGAACCAAATTTATTCAGTCATATTTCAAGTCACACTGCAAAAGCATTTAAAGTGGGCTCAGCTGGTAAGGCAAGTGGCGGCAATGGCACTTATAAATCATCTAAAACAAAAGAAGATGGCTGGAAGGAAGTTTCTAGAAAATGTAAAAAAATAAATGTTCCAGCGAAATGCATAAGCCGATTAATTGGGCGAGCAGGGTGCAACATAAATGCTATCAGAGAATCATCAGGAGCTCATATTGATTTAGATAAAATGAAAAATTCCTCTGATGGTTTAATCACTTTGAAGGGTTCTCCAGAAGCTATATTGTTGGCATCAAAACTAGTTGAAGCGATTATTAACGATTCAGATACAGATATTGAACAGCTCATAAGTTATTATAAAACAACTTTGAACATGAAAACTAATGTTAATGTTAAACCACCAGTTACATTTTCCCAAACAATTCAGACTACTATCTCAAGCAGTCAAAATTCGTCTGATGTCTCGCCTGCAAATCATAATGGGCACACAAGATCAACAAACTCATGTGGGTCTTTGTTACTTTTTTCCAATAATAAAACTAACAAAAATAATAACCAAATTCAGTACAACACAAAAATGGTGGGCGTTTCTAAAAACAATTCAGTTTTACACGACAAAATTTCATCCAACAGCTTATCTATTGCATCCTTTTTATCTACCCAAACTATTACCACAAACTCAAATGCAGCAAAGAAAGAAAACGTTGTAACATCAGTTTGGAAGATGCCTTCATGTGAAGTCTTTTCAGAATCAAAGGCTTCCAATCATCAGCAAAAAGTTGAGAGTTTGAAAGATGTTCAAAGTGTTGCTGAAAATAAATATGATGAAGTTAATCTAACATGTAATACAGAAGACAAATATAGTTCCAAAAAAATTGCTGAAAATTCAATGTATAATAATTCCTATCCCATGGAATCAACGGAAAAATGTCACCTTGAAACTCAAAAACCTTTGAATGATGTAAGTGAATCAACTTTGGAAGCAGACACAGCGTCCAGACCCCCTGTAACATATGATGATAACACCATAAGTTTAACGTCTACTAAAAATGTTGCTACAACCTCCTATTCTCAGCATTCACTTGGAGGTCTTATAAATAGTGACTTTTCTCCATTCAATAACATTTTAAGCACTGTAACTGAATCATTCTTGCTCGGTAAAAACAAAGAACCTAAAAAAGATTTTGCATCAGTTGCTGCTTCTAGTTTGGTTAATCAAGGAATTTCGTCATCGTTGTTATCCTCTTCTTCGTTGATGTCTAGTTTATCCCAACGGGCTTCAACTACTGATCAGATGAATAATTCTGCTTTACAAGCTAAAGCGCCTGGTTTTAGACCAATTGGATTTGGTACGACTCATCAACAGCAACGAAAAAATACTTTTATAGCTTCTGTCAGTCCTATGCCAACTACAGATTCTAATAATAATTCTGGTAGAAGAAAATTACTTTTTGAGGATGACAAAGAAGCTAATAAAACCACATCTTTTAATTTATACCCCAACCAAAACGTTAATATAATTGGTAATAATGAAAGTAATCAACAAAATATTGGTATTATAGGAAGTGGACCTTTTGCATTGAATAATAATTTAAAGTCTTCTGTCAAGCCATTAGAAATAAACAAAAAATCTGAGCACAACAAGTTGAATCCAGAGGCTCCTAATTTTACCTCAATATTCGCATCGAAAATGTGCGCATCCTCTGCCCACCCAAACAGCCATTTGTTTTTAAATAATGAAAGTTCTAGACTATTACACCCAGTTAAAACAATCTCTCACATGTCAACAGGACCGACTTTTAATCCTTTAATTGGCAATGAAAGAATGATGTCATCTACTCTACCAACAGCCACAAATGGAACATTTGATAATTCTAATTCATGCTCCTCCAACACATCGGTTCTTTTTGGATTATCTAATCATCTGTGGAAATTCGGCTCGAGAGATTCTTATATGTCAGACGCTGACCCTATACAAAATGAATTGACACCATTTCCTGATGCCAGTACTTTGTACAACCAATCTTATATATATCCTAAATTTTATGGAAGTTAGTTTTTTTTATATTTTCGTTAAATCTTAAGCTATACCCAGAATTTTAATTTAATTTTATTAATTTTGAAGAAGAAATTGAAAATGATCCAACTGGTACAAAAATTGATTTCCAAGGAGAATCATTCAACAATATTAACCATTATGGGCCTAGTTTGAGATCTTTTAACAAACCAAATACCATGATGATGGGCGATAACAATGTTGACTATTTCATGCCACAGACTGCTGTTTACCCTGTCAGACATGAAACTCTTGATCAGGTTACTAGTATATTTTGTAGGCTTTTATGGCTGTTAACAAATCTATGTGGAATCAATCAGGCTGAGAGAATATGCTGTATAATTTTGTAATATTTTGTTTTTATTGATGATAACAATGGTACTTTTTGACACTGAAAATATTTTTGTAATTTTTCAAGGGCATCAACCAGTCTTACGGCCAAATGGTAAATCCTCATTTAAATTATCCTATACCTCAAACGGAAATAAATAGGGTAGAAGGACATTCATCAAAAACATTTATGATAGCAGCCACAAATGAACCACATGTTAGCGTTTTTAACATTTAAAATATTAATGGTATTTTAATGCTAATTAGTAGGACCTGTTCTTTGCCATAGAATGTCAATTAACTAAAACAACTTTCCAAGTCATTGAGAGCTCACAATCTCAAATATTATATTATAGATAGTATTTATGACAATGGTTTAACAGCCTCCATATCTTTTTTTCTCGCAGTGGCTACCTATGAAATATAGAATATTTTTTAAAGTTTGCGCGGTAATAAACAAGTCTCAATACAAATTATTTAAGTATTTATTTGATTTTGACTAAATCTAAATGCTTTGGCCTACGATCTCGTTTTTCTATTCTTAAATCCTTGTCCCCCTTAACACTCTCACCACTCTTTCGGTCTTTTTTTTTCCTGGAACTTTCTCTCTCCTTCTTTAACTATTTTTCCATCAAAGTTCTGAGCGAATCTTAAGACCCAGTTGTTTGCATAATTCATTGTGGAGCACTGTTTAATATCGCAGAAACGGCGCTCAAGTTAAAAGCTTGGTTTTTATTAATTTTTAAAAAATTGAGTTCTATGATAATGACCATCTTTCCAAATCTGACGGTGAACTGGTGAAGCTTTAGGTGCTTTTCAGGCAGTCGATGCTTTTATTAATTTATAGTAATTATTGTTGGACACATCATTGTAATGTTTAAAAACGAATTGCAAAACGCAAAAATTAATTTTTATAATTTCCAAGGAACCTAAAAGCTTTAATTAAAAAAGAGTTTTTGGTTCTTAAAATAACACAAAACAAGTTTCTCAAGGACACGATTTTCAACTTTAAACCACATATCCACTACTTTTAAATGTTTTTTTTTTACTTTAAGATCACCTAACGCATAAAACAAGTACAAATTCTATCTTGCAGGTTGGTTGGCAGCCATAACAAAAACAAGCAAGAACGTTATTTACTAGTACAGTTGAAAATTGTTGATTTAATTTATAGTTTGTTAAATCTATTAATCATATTGTTATTTACACAAACTTAGCAACACGAGCAAGTTTTTGTTATTAATTTCTTGCATGCAGCTGGTGTATTTGTGTTAATAATAATTATTATTTTTGCCATAATTAAAATTTTATTGGTTCGAGTGAATATTCATGATCAGGTTTAATTTAATTTTTTATTCTCTGATGCGTTGCGAATATCATGTTTATTTATTTGAATTAGACATCTTTGTGTTTAAGTCTTTTTATTATATCGGTAAGCAAAAATATAAAAATAAAAACTTTTGCAAATCAAACCAAACATAAATATACTCACCAGCCACAAATTTTAAACAATCGATGCAAATCAAAACTTAAACATAAAAACGTTATAATGAAAGTGTAAACGCTAGAGGTACGCTAGAAGGTGCAGATAAGGATGTCCTGGAAAGCTTTAGTCATTTGTTCATTCCCCTGGAGCTTTATTAGCGGACGGCCAAGTCTCGTTTTCTTTGTCGAGGAGTTTTGCATCGTCAAACGTTTTTATTTTCATGTTAGGCATATAACCTGTCATCGCTTTTTAAAAATTAATATCAAGATTTTTAAAGTTGAGCTAGTTTCAAAGTTTAATTTTGATATCGTAGAGAGCTAAAAAATGTGTGCTGCTACTAGTATCTATAACCTGTCATCGCTTTTTAAAAATTAATATCAAGATTTTTAAAGTTGAGCTAGTTTCAAAGTTTAATTTTGATATCATAGAGAGCTAAAAAATGTGTGCTGCTACTAGTGTCAATAAATTTCAAACAAACCGTTTTCTAGTCCTTCTTTTCCACCTGTTAGTGCTCCAATGGGTAGCATGCCATTGGGCGTTAGTCCTTTCAACACTACCAAAGATTCACTTTCTTCCCTGTTGTTATGGATGGATAAATTATTGTTTATAATCAAGAACTAGCTGGAGAAATCGATAACTTCAGCCCCAAGCTAACAGATATTCAATGATTGGTCTATATGTGAAACTGTTTTTAAATCCATTACTTCATTGTTGGAACCGTTTAAGTTTTTGCGACTGATTATATTTTGAAGTGAAAATCGAAAAAGCTAACTTGCAATGCAAATATAATGCAGAAGATAAAAAATTGTGTTTTGAAAATATTGACCTGAGTATTTTGAACATTCTGCTCATTTTACTGATGACTCTCACTTTGCTCTGGATGGCGGCTTTTTTCTTTTCAAGATCCTCTGAACAATTTAATTACACGTTGTAAACAGGTAACATGTTGTAAACAGGTAACATGTTGTAAACAGGTAACATGTTGTAAACAGGTAATGTCATGTATGAATGGGACGGATCCAAGGAGTCAAGATTTGTGGTATCCGGATATGAGTGATGGGTTCGTAAGTATCCGGATATAAGATGTATGCGGGCTTATGATTAAATATATATTGGATAGCAAAACAACAAAAATTATCTTGGGTGTAAGCAGTTTGTAATTTTTTTTACTTTCTGATAATGATAACAAGCATAGAAAGACAGCAATTTTTATCCGGTTCTCTGGGCATGAAATAACACGCCTAATTTGTTTAAGAAAAAGTTTTATTTTTGAAAATAGGTTATACGTAGAAAAAAATTGTTACCCTTTTTATCTTGAGATAAACCTTTTCCCGAGTCAATTGTACTGTACATCAGTATGCACTTCAAAGCATCAGTAACTATAAATTATGTGAATATAAAACCATTTTTTTAACATAATTTCAATTGATATTTCAATAATTTTATTGTACCATATTTGGCCTAAGGACTTAGTATAGAACATGATGAGGTTGTGTATAAATCCAATAGAAGCATATTTTCAAATAAGTCAATTTATAACCGTCTCCGTAATTATAAAAGCGGTGATTACAAAAAATCAATATTACAAAAAATCAATAAGTTAAGTAAACAATTGAAAAGTTATCAATTTAACTTTCAAATTTTGCATTGAAAACATCATGAAAATCTTAGCAAAATATTGATGTTAAAATGGAGAGCGATTAAACTGAATCACATATTGAATTTGGTAAGCAATTTGTAACACCAAACCCTCATAGTCGTAACACAGATTAGAAGTAGTTATATCAATGTTCGTTTAGCGTCCAGAGACCCAGTTCCCCCGAGGTAGGACGTTGTTTTCTTTGCCATCAATTTTTGCCATCAGTTGTATCCATTTCATTTAAATTTAGAGCTTTCATGTCTTGCTCAATTGTTTGCGACCAGGACTTCTTTGAACGGCCTTTGGGACGTGTGCCAAGTACTTCAACATCTGCAAGAGAAGTTATGGCACTGTTTCCACTTCGTTTGACATGACCAAACCACCGCAGACGGTGTTGCCGGCATTCGTCCTTTTTATCATCTAAACCAGAACGACGCAGGATTTCGGTAGATTTGATGTGGTCCTTAAGACTAATTCGTTGCATCCATCGGAACATTTTCATATCGTTATACACAAAAATTAAATTAAGTTTGATTTTTTTTATTTAACTCTTCAACTATAAATTAAGACTTGTGCAGAGGTTGGTGAATATGAAAAAAATATCCAACGCTTCACTATAAGTTGAAACCGTTCGAGAAAATGGTTGTAACTAGAAACTTTTGTTGGGGGGGTGCCAACAAATTTGTCAGGTTTGTTGAATTTGTTTTCCTTATTCCACTTGCCTTTTTAATAATTTTCAATTTGTTTTTTTTTCCAAAAAGTCACGAAATGTTATATTGTTATAGGAGGATAACACTTCAGCCCCGCCTCAAACCTTCCCTCATAATTTTCAGTATAACATCACAAAATCAAAGTTTTCAACTTTTTTGAAAACTTTGGGGTGAAAATAAAACCTTGCATTCTCCCTGTTTGTGTCGAGAATGACATTCTTATTTTGCGAAAAAGATTAAAGAAACAGTATCAATAATGGATGAATAAATTCATTAACAAATAAAAACAAATAACATTCTCAAGCATATAACTCAATAACTGATTGCCTATTTGGTCTGTGTGAAGCTGTGGTAAATATTCATCTGAACAAGTTTTCACTGCATTGATCTGCGGAAGTGGTGTAGCTGTTAAATGGATAATGAATAAATTATAAACCTCGTTCTCCAATGAACGGCAGTGACCAAGAGAAGGCATCCATGAAGTTTGGCAACCAGTAGGGATGCACTGAATCGGTGAACTGCTCTATATTTAATTTCTTTTTGTCGTATTTTATTATGGCAGCTGTGTGAAATAATTTTTTCACGTTAATATTAAAAATTAAAAATTAAAATTCTACCTTTATTGTGATACACGTCCAAATAGTTTGGAGCAGAAAATATAGTCATCAATGCAGGAAAGCCAGTGGTTGCATGCTTCTTGTACATCTGATAGCTAAAAAAATAAATTTACAATTGAAAGTAATATAAATTGAAGAATGATTTGAAAACAATGATGATACCCAGCATCTTGAGCCTCATGTGCTCTGATGACAGAGAGAAGCAGATTCTCATTCAAGAAATTCACAACAGCTTGGTACCTGATAAAATTGATGACTAATGCATAAAAGTTTATTTTAGTTTTGTGTGCAGCATAAAAATATCCAAGTACACTGCACAGTACATACATGTATTATGTATAACTTATTCTATAAAAATAATTTAGTTGTGTAAAATATTTTAAATAACTAACGAGTATCTATAAGAACAACCTCTACTGGTATTGATCAGAAAGAGATCTTCATATTTCTCATTGCCAAAATCTTCTGTGGGATCTGCCCAGAGTAAATCACACATAGGACCCATGGCCGGGGGTTCACTGAATCTGTATATCTTTACATGAAATAATATAAAATGTATTCTTGAACGTTTAACAACTTATTCAATTACTTTATATTTTTGACTGCACTGAGGAACTTAACTTGTCGTTTTATATACGTAAATATATATCAGGCATTGACGTCGAAACGCCAGCAAATAAATTAATCTAAAATAATGGCTCTTGGAAATTTGATTCGCGATTTGGATTATGAACGTTAAAATGCTGATAAGAAAGTAACAAATCCTAAAGCTGAAGTACATGCGTGGTGAATATGTTAACATGTATTATTATGTTCGTGAACGTAATCATACATCAAGAGTGGTGATGTATGATTCGAACATTTTCAATCTATGGTTAATTTTGTAAAAATGTAAGGTATAACAAAATTATTCTAATTTAGCCAGAAATGAAAATTATGTGAAGTATTTGAGAGATATTGGGCTGGTAAGAAGACTGATTCTGGAAATTTTAATATAGAAAGTAGATATTTTAAAATAAATCTGGTTAGTTTGGGTTAATGTTAACCATTAAGTTAGTGGTATAATTAAAAATAAAAAATTAAATGTTTCAACCATCTTAATATCCTGCAGAGTGTGAATGTGTGGAGATAAACCTCCATGTATGCACAAAAATTGTTTGTTCACAAGAGCACCTAATGGCAAAGCATCAAATGATTCCATAACACTGTCATAAATTTTTTCACTGTACTTTATCATACCTGTAAAAAATAGATTATTTTATAATTTTCTTGTAGAAGAGACTCTGATGAAGGGCAAAATAGTTTAAATTTTATAAATTTATAACAAATCCTTCTTATTTCAAAGAATTATATATATCTTTACAGGAAATTATTAAATGAACATTTAAAAATAGATTACCTCAACTGATGGTACTAACATTCTAGCTTGAAAGAGAAGTGAGCAGTTAAATGGCGACATTCATGGTTGCCTCTCAGCAGGAAAAATGACAGAGGAAAATTAATTTTTATGGCATAAAGATATAAAACACACTGCAAAATTACAGAAAATTAAAATATTTTTATTGAGATTTTTTCAAAAAGTTAGATATAGACTTTTACATACTTCTATGCTGAAATATCCTCTGTCCACATAATCACCAAGGAACAAGTATCTAACTTGACTGGGTGGTCCACCAATTTCAAACAATTTCAGTAAATCAAAAAACTGACCGTGAACATCACCACAAACTTAATTAAAGGGTATAAAAAAGTTTCAAAAATAAATTGAATGATGATGTGGTGAGATTTGGCAGACCAATATTTTATTATTAGAAATACTATATTCATAATATAAACCACTGACAGAAAGATGATGATAAATCAAGTAAAAAGTAAAATAAATGCAGAATTAAGAAAAAAATTAACTCTAGGTTTAGAAAATTAGAAGAGATACAACCGTTAAAACACATACAGTAAGCAAGTACATGATACAACAAAGAGAGAAAGCGTTTACTTAAAATCTGAATTTGAATTCATCTGCAAACAAACTAACTGACTTGTTATTGGGGCTTCTACTTCAAGTAATGTTGGTTCTTGCTTTAAAAGTTGTTGAGCATCCTCAATAATCTGTAAAGCTGCTTTCTGAGTTATTCTACCTTCTTGTTGGAAATGATTTTTCATCAAAGCAAAGCTTGGCTTATTGTCTTTATATAAATCAGAAATATCCAAGCGATTTGTTTTAGGATATGGAATGCCTTATAATTGTTAACATTTGAAAAATTACTATTTTTATTATCTGTTTATCACAACTCAACTCATTCACCTTATTTTTACACTCACATTACTTTATAAACTAAACTATAAAATCTTTGTTCTGATTCAACAAATGTCAAATTAGAACTAATTGTAGGCTTTATTAATTTATTTTTATGGCAAAATAAGCTGTAATTTCAAACAATACCTGAAATGTTTAAATACAAAAAATAAAAAAAGATTAAAAAAAACAAAAACTGAATAACTATTTAATAAAAAACTTATTCAAAAAACTTAAGTTTAAAACTTTAAAAGATCATATTTTAGTTTTGTGTATGTATGTCACTATAGTACTATGCTATAGTATATTGTATTCTATTAAAAATCAATATTTCACATTTTAAATCCCTTATTATATTATCATATTATTATTATTATAGAGAAAAATATTGTTAATAATTTGATCAGTGAAGGATTTAAAAAATTGTTTTTAGGGTTTTTTTGATAATTTTTAGTATGAAAATAATAGTTGTTACTTGTTAATAGTTTATATTTTAATATTAATTTAAAATACAAACAGTCTTTACATTTACACTCTTACACTCAAATACCAATGAATAATTTTATACTTACTGCTGATAGGACGATCGGCGTTTCCAGGTTTAGCCATTATCAGATTCTGACTTTTTAAATTTTTTTACAAATTAGTATGAAAACTGATGAAAGGACAGACGAAACGCTAAATTTAAATTAAAACAAGTTTAAAACTGACTAGAGAAGAACCAGGGATGAGCCGTTTATTATAACTGACTTGTTTTCGGGCTTGATGTATAAATGGTATAGATAATCATATACATAGAACAAATTGCACATAATTGTGACTCTTACAACGTTAAAATTTAATTTAGAATTATGTAATATATAACCAAACAGAGAATTTTGCTTTATTAAAAGTTACTAATATACTTTAATTTATTAACAAGGTAAATAAGATCATTGTTTAAGTGTAAAATAGTACAAATCCAAACGATAAAAGCCTGTGCTGGACTGATGCATAACAAATTCTGTCTAAAATATTAAATTATCATAATATTCAATATAACGATGAGTATTTTGTAACGATGATAGCTCATGGTTTAACCACTATCGTAAAGTTTTTTTCTCTTAAGTTTAAATAAGATTAAAAGGTCTTAACGGACAATTTAGCATATGCCGTGTAACCCATATACAATATTTAGGTTTACAATGGAATATGACTCATTGACAGCACTAAGCCTTTAAAACCATAGTTAATCGATCAATTTTGTATAATTTAACGTTTATACGTGCTGCTCACTCTATTCGCGACGATTCAACATATTACATACAAACCGCCGTGCGCATCGTAATGTTGTTTTGAAAGATAACTTTTGACGATGTAATCATATGTAGATTTCAATTTGCAATGTTAGAGAAATTTCAATATCATTAAATTTCATTCGTCGTCTCGTCCCATGTCTTCATTACATATCTGCGGTGAGTGTGTTAATGATCTAGATTTGATAAATTTAAAAACATAAAATTACCAAGTTTGAAACAAAAAATGATTGTTAAAATAACAAAATGGTAATGTCAAATGGTGAACGCTATACTTTTTATTAACAAATTTTGTACACATATTCCAGTTTTCCAAGCTGAAATCGAAGAAGTATCAGGTGAAACAATATTTTTCATTTTATTTGAATTTGATTTTTCATTAATCATCGATAATAATACAAATTAATATTATTAACACATAATAAAAAATGAATTTATATATGCACACAACATAATACGTAATGAACTTAATTCTTTTTAAAACTTTTCTCTTATGAGACATTATTGAATATTTGTAGATAAGCTAGCTAGTTATGTTGTCATCAAAGTTGGAAGACACGTTGAAGTAAGCGAAGCAGTTGAAGGGAGACCATGGCTAAATAAAGAATTCATCATGTAAACTTTCAGCTTAATTTTTATGTCCATATCCAATAAATTCTCAAATTGGGAAGTTAATTTTTAAAATTTATCACACGTTTTAGCAATGAAAGCGTGTTTAAGGACGAATCGTTTGTAGTTGTTGAATTGTGGATTAAAGAATTTCTGTCGGATAGACTGATAGGGGTTTCGTTGATACCGGTAAATGATATTAGAGTATCGAATGAAGTTTGTATGGCTTTTTGTTATATTTTCTTATTAAAAATTTTAATACATTAATCAGATCAACTTTTGCATGTTTAAAATTCTTATGTATAAATGAAAGTAGTTTGCATCTAACTGGCTAAATTGAATATTGGCTTTTGAATAGTTTATATATGATATTGATTGTATTGGGCCGATTTATTAATATACAGGTTTTACAAAAAATAATGCAACTTACCCAAGAAATTTTATAACATTTGCAAAATATTTTACAACATTTATAATGCATTTATTCTCAGTACAATTTGTTATATTTCTAATAAGACAAACTAAACATGTTTAATTATAAATTTGTAAAATATTTTGAAAAAGTTGTAAGATATTTAGGAAACGTTGTGAAATATTTGAGATATGTTGTAAAATATTTAGTAAATGTTGTCAAATTTCTTGGATAAGTTGTATTATTTCTCGTAAAACCTTTAAAGAGATATTCAACCGGTGACTCAAAAATATACTGGAATTATTTGTTTCTATCATATATTTATGATAATTTTTATAATTAAAGTTATTTGATGAATATATTATGAAAATTTGTTTCCAAAATTTAGAAAGCTGATGGAGAGAAAGTATTTTTACATTCGAACTTATTATATGAAGGCGATAGGCCGATTGGAGTTGATGGTCTAACCAAACACGGACTTTGGTTGGATGCAAGAGTTAATGTGGAAGATCATAACAATCCAGAAGGTTTTTTTTCTGTTTTGAAATAGTTTCTCAATAGTGTCTGCGCATGTCAGCACCTATTTAAATTATTCTTTTAATTACGTAGTATCGTTTTTAAACGTTGGAAGTTAGACAATAAAAAACTGTAAATAAAATATGTCACGCTTGATAACAAGATGGAAAATTAAAAAAAATAGCATATTATGAATAATAAAATATGACACGGAGGTTGGAGATGTGGTATTTGCCATATTAGGAAGAACTTCATCTTTTCTCATAACCAGCCAATACTGAAAATCATTAACAATGCTTTGTCGTTGTTTATTTTAATTTCGACCTTGATACTGAGATACATTTGTGTTGTTAGAAAGGTAGTTTGTTCTTAACCTGTATATCAAACTTCATATATAAGTTTTTAAAAAATATATAATAGCACTGAGCTAATTATACATTATGAAATTATTAAAGTGATATGATGGGTTGACATTAGTTGATTGTAATGTTTAAGTTATGGAAAAGCAAACATTTGTGGTGCGGTAAAAAGCAGATTAAAAAATATGAAACAAAGTACTGTACGAATTGAGTTTGTATTAAAGAATATTGTACTTTTACGATTTGCCGACAATGACATCCAGCTGATACATCTGTTTTTCTTCTTCTTTCTTCTTTCTCGTGCCTTATCCTTTCCAGGACTCAAAGCCGTAATTTAGCATAGGAAAAATGTAACACCTTACAGTTGATACACCGTACATTACAGAAAATATAGTTGGAATTTCAACGGTTGAAAGAGAGGCTGGCCACGACGTAAAAATGATTGACCCTGATTGCTGCTATTCAAACGAGGAGAAGAAGTTAAATGATGAGGATGCTCATCCCAACATTGAAATTAAAGATGATGATGGAGACAAAAGACTTCTCACAAACGGAAGTAAATAAAATAATTATGAATGCAAATTTAGGTTAAATTGTAAATTTTAATAAATTTTGTAGGTAGCATTACATTACGTCTTACACAAACACACGAACAGTTATGCACATCTATGCAGACGACGAATTCGAAAACGCGGATGAAAGCAGAGATTCAAGGAGTGAACATACACCGTTATTGGAAAGCATGTTAGTTAATTTAATGTGTATGGTACTGCAATGGAGTTTTCAATTATAAACATCAAACTTATATACCGTTTAACAGTTCGTTTTGTCCTTAACGCCACAAATACGGAATGTACTTTGTTATTCACCACCATGCATTATTATATATGTATATATGTATAATTTTTTTTTCTCTACTCCAGTGACAATACCGAGTTTGTGGATTGCCGGTTGAGGAGATCATTCATGAAGTCAAACACTTAGTAAGTTGTTGTTGTTGTTGTGTGTGTGTGTGTGTGTGTGTGTGTGTGTGTGTGTGTGTGTGTGTGTGTGTGTGTGTGTGTGTGTGTTCATAACAAGCTTTTTTCTGTATTTTCGCTTTCATTTTCATAAAATATTTTTTAGAACTCTTTCAACCAATTACTTCACTGAAAGTTAAAATGTGTGAATGTATGTTTAAAAAACACCCATTAAATTGAAAAAGATTTTTCTTTCAAAGTATGCATCTTGTCAGCCCTGACACAATCGTCGCACATAAACGTGAAGTCTTTTCGTTGACTTAGAATTTCATTATACTATTAACGTTTTAATTTGCGGCATGTTGTTCAATTAATGTTTCATCTTCACACATGTTTGGTTTCACTTTCATATAAGTTTGTGTAATTTTATGCTAGTTCATATTGTTCCGTACAAGTTAAATGTTTCAAATGCACTTGAGTCATTACATATAAACGACTAATCACATTTTTCATCCAGTTTAGCACTTCTTTTCTGGTTTGTTTCTAAATGTTAAACGTTTGAAAGGCAAAATTTTAACATAATAAAAACTATGAGTTTAGCAAGTATCTGTGAATATCTTAGCTTGTAGGCTTTTTACAAAATAATTGAATTTACAAATATTTAATTTCAATAGTTTTGATTAAAATAAAAACCATTTAATCGGCTCAATAGGAATTTAAAAAAAAATTGTGACATGAAGTCAAAATATCATTAAATTACTCGTTTAAAATTATTTTAATTCAGAGTTATTTATGGCTGCTTAATGCTTGTTGCTTCGGTATGTAATGAATATTTTTTTCAGTAGATAACGAGGGAAGGTTTTGAGTTTGGCTCGCTTCTTGATAGTTGACAAGAAACATTATTATATAAAAATATTTTAAAAATTATTCTTGCACTGATATGTTTACTGCTTTTTTGATTCCGTTTTTAGTACTTACAAACAACCAGCAATTTGTTGGAATTATTATTCTGATTTGTTGGTCGCATGCGAGTGTAACAAACGCATTTGCTGTCTGACTACACGGGTCTCCAGCTTCCTGCTAATTCAAAATTGAATCGAGAATTGTTATCTTCAATGAAATGGAGAATGATTGTCTGAAGAACTTTTTTTTTCGAACGACTGATTTTTAAATCTTTCAGGTCAAGATATATAAATTTTCGTCTTACTTTTCGAAATATAACCACATTTTCAGGCTATTAACTCTATGAACTGATGTTGAACATAACGTTAAAAAAATTTAATTTAAATTTTTCATACATTAACAATTTTTTATTATTTTTATTAAACAACTTTTTCAGGTATTATTGCAAAAATTGTTTTTTCTGACTGGAATACTGCTTTTTACAGAAATAGTTTAATTTATTGATTGCTAAATGAAGCTTGCATGCATTAATTTTGGGAAATATATTTGATAATTCGATTTATTTTAGAATCGCTACATTATAACATAATGCTTATATAAATGTTAACGTTATTATTCTATTCATAAATCTGTATACAAGGTACATGTAATGTTTAAGACGCCTGATCCTGCGTAACAGTGACTGTGTTCGAATTCAAACAAACCCCCTATCACATGCATTGGATGGGGTGTAAGAATTTTTCCTGTTCACATGCCCTGCGTGTGTTTAGGTGCTTTTAAGAATTAATTAAGAAATTATAGCTAATATTAATAGTGATAAGCCCAGTTTTTTATGTAATCAAATACAAATTTTCACAGAATAACAAATTCTATTTTTAACTTTGTAACATGGATTAAAAACGTCAGCAAGAATATGAAGCGTGCATCGGACAGATTTGAGAAGTCTCCTTCCTTGGTATCGAAAACCAAATGGGTGGAAGCTCTGTCGCTTGTTATCAGCAACAACAACAACAACAATGTAAGTCGTCGCTATTTACATCTTTTATTAATTTGTCTACATGCAAGTTATCAACACAAATTATATGTTTCAATTTGGATAAAATTATTTCTAAAAGCTTGGTGCAAAAGTAACTTCAATTATGAAGCAAAAAGGATTGTAATTCAAGACTTAATCAATATATTTAAAAAGCAATCTGTTGTTTTGTGATTTAATAATACGTGATAATATGTGTAGAAAGACACATTCATTTGTTTGAAGTTTCAATTGATATTTAGATAGGATATTTTTACTGCGATATCTGTCGACAGATATTCTCGTAACCTTCATAGTGTTGCATCTAGAGTTAACTCTTTTTAGAAAACTTCTATTGATTTTCGGCTAATCAATAATTTTAATATTGTTTCGGCGTTTCAAATGTGATAAGTCATTTGTATTATTCGTAACATTGAGCTAACTTGTTGTAGTTTTTTTATTGTTTTTTTTTTTTTTTAGATTTGATTACGTCAAAAAGTTAATACTTCTTTTAAAATTTTTTTTGTTCATTTATTTCCTGATCGTTATATTGTTATTTGGTTAGCTATACAAATTCATCGGAGCCCAACAGAAATGGTAAAAATTTGAATAATAACTTCTGACGATTATCGGCAATGTGATATTTCAATTGTTGTGCTCCGCTGACTCACTCATGCATCGTTGTTGCAGTCACCATTATAATAACACCTGCGTGCATCAGTTCATTGATTTCTAATATTTCCATTGTGAGGATGTTCTTGTCGCTGAAACAATATTTCATATCGTTCGTGCTGTGTTTTCATTTGAATATACATTGTTACATCATCGTCATCATCATCATCATCATCATCATCATCGTCATCATCGTCATCATCGTCATCAATATTATCGTGACTTTTTTCTTGGGAAACCAACGAAAAATATTTAATCATTCTCAAATATCCGAGCCAACGTAATTTGCTGAGCATAGTTCCAATTAGAGATTATTTGTTCTATTTTTTTTAAGATTTAAAAAATTTTTTATATCCTAACACTTCCACATATCCAAGGCATACACTCTTTTTCTATGTTGATCGCTCCTTATCATGTGCTCTTTGTGCTAAATGACAATCTCAGTGTGTCAAGCAATTTTTCAATATTTTCTAATATTTCAATATTTATTAATATTTCAGTATAACATGGTAGCATACGTCCTAACACCACTGTTGTGTAAACTCTTTTTTTTATTTGAAATAACAATCAAATTCGTAGATAAAAACGTAATTTTAAAACCAAAGTAGAAATCTAGATTAAAATTATTTATACAAATAATCTTATTTATTTACTAAATTACTTTAACTAATAATATCTAAGCTTCTACCTATCTATTAATTACAATTTCTCTAGCTTACCTAAAATTACAAAACTCAAAGAGCCCAATTCATTTGTCAATCGGCCCCACCCCACCACCTACATAATGCCTTGGGCTCAAACTAAATAATAATAATGTAAAACTTAATAATTAACTTACCTTTCGATACGCCTACAATGTTTTGTTTAATTTAATTTTAATTTCCAAACTGGTTTTTGAAAGTGAAAGGAAAGGCTTGCAAATTAACATCAACAAAACAGAGTGTAAAAGCAAAACCGCCCCGATCTGCTTCATAATCTGGCTTGTCCTGTATCTCTCACTAAAACTTATTTGATAATTATAGTCTTTAGACAATAACTTGAAATAATTAATTAATAGCAATATAATTTATTTATGTATTGGTCTTATGTTTGTTTGTATACATTAAATTCTTAGGAAGAAGAGAAAGAGTTGGACAAATTGAATATTTTAAAATTCACTGTTGACAAGTTCGTTTCAATTTTTCAGTCATAATTTCATATTATACATTCGTTTAGATATCAACTGTTCCATGAGAGAATATTTTAATGAAGCGTTACAAAAAACTATATATTTAAATAAAATTTCCAAAAATATTTTCAATGAAAAATGAAGAATGAAAAGAAAAAATCAGCTTTACAGTAAAATTGAGCCGACGCCAAACCTGAAAGTTTCAAGAAGAGGCTCCATATTTACGGGACAGGTGCCATCTTTGATTTTTAAACGACAAAGTGTTCAAGACATTTGTGCTAGTCGCATATTACTCTGTCATCATTTGCTGTTTGTTAAGTTTAATATTGAATTGTTCAGACAAACCTGGTTGATGCGAAACAAATTTTCACGACTTATTGATTCTATTTTCCAGCCGCTTCCAAACCAGGTTACTCTACCACCGAAATTCAATCGAATGAGTTCTGAAAATAATGAACTGGTTATTTTTTAATTTATACAATTAAATATTAGTAACACGTACACACACAAACTCACACGCGCCCGCATGCACACACGTGCACATACTTTTAAATAAAAATTTCAGTAAGAATTAGCTATACATCAGTTCAGACGAAAATGTTTACATATGAATTAAAATAGAAACCTCTTATAATGTCATATTGTTTGTTTTGAAGAGATAATAACTAGCATTTTATCCCAATTGAACATGCCACGTAACAGAAACCTCACGTCTATAAGAAGACATTGCAAGCTATTTTGTATCCAATGTCCAACTCGAAGCCCCACCAATTTGTACCATTGACGGCCAGCACCCCGACATTTTGTTGCGAATGTGAGGGTCTACTATGGGGTATTGCCACGCAGGGAGTCAGGTGCACTGAATGCGGCGTGAAGACACATGACAAATGTCGAGAAATGCTTAATGACGACTGCCTCCAAAGTTGGCCATCATATAAATTTCAATCGGTCATTTCATGAATTTCAATCGGTCATCTCATGAATTTTAATCGATCCTTTTTGAGCCCTGACAGTTTGAAAACAAAATTTAAATTTTAAAAAGTGAACACAATAATAATTGATTGTTGAATGTGAATACGAAGAGGCCGCCGAGAAGAGTAGCAAGGATGGCCAGGAAGACAAGGCAAACAACATCATCAACATCATGAAGGACCTCATGGAACAAAGGGTTCGACAACACAAGAATTTGTTTGAATTTTTCAGGTACTGATTTCATTGCGTATTTTATTATTGCTTGATGTTTTTTATTTAGTCATTGGGTCTTTTTTTGGTAAATTGTAAAATCAAGTGTTCAAAAATTGGAAGCGGCATTTTTAAAAGCTTTTAACAAAATTTTAAAAATGAAGTTTTCGTTAGAGCTGTTGAAAATTTAACATTTTTACTTTTTTATCAGAAAATAAACATGCACTAGTACAAATTACACTTAATAATTTTCTCAGTAAAGTTGGAAATTTTTTTTATGAAAGAATCCATTGAAGCGACGTGGCTAAAAAACAAACAAAAGTAAACACTGTCATCAATATTTACAAAATAAATAATCAATTATATGTGTTTGCAAACCTCAATCTACCCCAGGAAGGTCTTCAATGTTGACGAAACTGAGCATGAGCAGCAGATTGACTCGGCCAAAAAGTTATTGCTTGCGGGCACTTCTAACTGGTGTGCTAAGTTAGCTATCACAGGTGAGTCTGTGGCTTTAGTTTGATAGCTGCAGTTGTTAATTTGCTTGAAAAATTAGTTGAATATGGTCGAATGAAATTCTTACAGGTTTTTTTGTAACATGCAGAAAAATTTCATTTTTATAAGTTTGATTTTGAAAATTGAAGTATTTTTGACTAATTAGAAATAAGTTGGTTTTACATGGATCAACAAAAGACTGAAATTGCTTTAAATTTGATCTTGATCACCTTAATTAGGACCAGGCACTTCACCATAAAACCATCCACCTACTTTATCCTTTTGCTAACATATTTTTATTTATTGAAACGACTTTTTTTCATAATCTGTGATCTCGTTTATATTTTGTATATTTTAACGATAACATTACTAACCCACTAACGGCTTTAATGTATTTTGATTTCATTTTTTATTTTAAACAAAACCCACCTCCATTTGAAGTTGTATGCGCTCAGGGACTGGCTGGAAAAGACAAAACAGGAGCCAGCGACCCTTACGTGACCATACAAGTTGGGAAGAGTAAGAAGAAGACATCTACAGTCCTCCAGAACTTGAATCCAACGTGGAACGAGACTTTTCACTTGTACGTTGTCTTCAACGATACTCACGCATTTTGTTGCTATCTTGCTTAAAGCATTCAATTTGCTATTTCATCTCATTATAATCTCAATTCACAAGTTGCACTTTCTAAAAATAGTTCTACTTTTCTGATTCGAAAGTTTAATTAAGGTTTAAAAAAGTTTGGAAAGTGTGTTTTATTCTGATCTTCAACGGTAAATATTTCTAATAAGAGATCATCAAGTTCATTATTTTATGTATATTTTGTTTTATAATTTGAACGGCCACGGTTGTCTGCTCAATGTTTTTTCCAAACAGTGAATGTCACAACTCTACCGACAGAATCAAAATCAGAGTTTGGTAAGATAATTTATTATTTATTTTGTTTTAATTTGTTTTAAGATCTAAAACTAATTCATATATAGATTTTTTCCATTTAAATATAATCATTAATTATTGTTCTCTGGTCTTCGTTGAAACATAGAATACAAATTTATGCGTAAAAGTTAATAAAAGAAAATTTCTTTAAGTTTGGATGGGTCAAATTAAAAAATGAAGGAATGAATGTTATTTTTTTATTCTGTTTCATTTTCTAAACGACTTCTTGAAACTTAATTTAATAACAGGGCTTACACTTTCCCATTAACTAAATATTTATTTAAATGCTTATTTATACTAGTACCGTATCGTTATATTTTATATTGTTATATTATATTTTATTATACTATATTATAGTGGAGACGAGAAAAACTTTACATATAAATTGAAGCAAGTGCTTGATAGAGACATGCCCAACGAATTGGGTCAAGTCTCATTTGAGGTCAGAAATCTCAACTGCACTTCTGACCTTTGGTACAATTTGGGTTTGTTTTAAAAAGAACATCAAATAAAAAATATTAAAATTTATTGACTCAATGTTATGCTTTTCGTAAAAAGCTTTTAGACAAGGCTGTATACTTGTTTGCATATTTTTATCTGTTCTGGGATGTGTGTCGCAGGCAACTTATTACAAAATACATCCATTGAATTTACTAAGACAACGCTAATACGTGCTTCATATCTTTAAATTCGTATATATGGAATAATAACAAAATTTTAGGCGATATATAGATATGGTATACCAAAACGAAAATAAGTACGTACATAAACACAAACAGTGATATTGAACAATTTGACTGGCAATTGAAAAGTCACGGAATGTATGTTAAAAATACATTTGCTCCATCTTGTGCTTAGTGTGTTGGTGGCTTAAATGTGCTTTTGCTTCTTGTGATCATTTTGTAACTAAATTTGCGCTTCAATTGAACTCGTTGGAATATTTAAAAATGTTATTGCCTTATTTTCGGCAGAACGCAAACCACCATACGTGAAAAAAATGTAAAGCAGAAAACAAAAATTAGATGGTTCTCTGGCATTGTCGTCAATACATCGAAATTTTCGATCATTTCATTTTTTGTTCTTCACTTTGTTATAAGTTTGCTCTAGAGTTTGAATAAAAAACTTGAAAAATTCAAAAACGACTTTCAAATATGTTCAACGAATCTAACATAGTTTAGTTGTTTTAGTTGTTGGTTATAGTTTGAATTTTAAAAACCATTTCATATTAATTGAGGATGTTAAAGGAGGAGGAACTGCCTGTTATTTAATTGAATATAGGGACGAAGATGATGATTTGAGATCGCTCATCAAGTCGAAGTTTTCATCAGAATCTGATGACTTTCTCGGTCAGGTGATCATTGAGGCCTGTACTTTGGTTGGAGAAACTGAGCTGTGGTACTCACTTGGTTAGTTTATTGATCCAACATTCATTCAGCTCGTGTTTGACGGTACCGAATTATGAAATAAGTTATTATTGTAACGTGAAGTAACATGAAGTAATATTACAACATAACTGAACTAACATAACATAAGCTAGCATAACATAACAACATGACTCAACGCAACATAACACTGCGCAGCACAATATGCCTCTGCTGCTATCTGCTAACATTTAAAATTTTATTCAGTTAAGGTGGCAGCCAAATTAAGTTTGTATAGACGAATCTCGTTTGATCATTCGCTTTGATGTGACGTCGTCCAGCTCATGTAATAAAATTTGAATGCAGCTTAATACGCGATTGAGTGATGAGAGCTAAAATCTTTAAATTATTTTTTTATAAGCTGTAACTGCCAGTATGTCGAAATCGGATGAAAAATATTCGACTCCGGCCCCTCAAAAAATCCGACTCAGGGTAAAAATTTCCAACTCCCGATTCCGATTCTTGGTTCCGAACTCCAGAAAAATTTTCAACTTTTGTATCATAATTTCACTTTATTATCACTACTAAATAAAAAATACTTTTAAAACACTAAAAATCTATCGATGTAATTGTTTTTCCTAGTAAAATTACTTTATTTTTATGTTTTAAAACATACTGAAAAAATTATCAACTTTTAAAAAATCATAATTTCACTTTACTATCACTACTAAACAAAAAATACTTTAAATAACGTTTAAAATCAATTAATGCAATTGTTTTTCTCGGTAAAATAACTTTGCTTGTATTAATATGTTTTACAACATACTGAAAAAATTTATGTGATTTCACAATATTAGCATTTGTTTTCAGCATTAAAGACGATTGCGTATCGGTACAAATATTTTTTCTTTAAAAAACTTTTTTTAAAAAAGAAACAACATTTTCTGGCTTCAGAGCCAAATAAAAAAATCCGACTCCTACTCGGCCACTAAAAAATATCTTACTTCGGCCAAAATCTTTGACTCCGACAGACTCCAACTCCGACACTCTGGTAACTGCCCAAAAATCTAGTATACGATTAAATACTTTTCATTTGTGTATATTTCATTTCGTAAGTGTAAAAGTGGGTGTTTCTTTTGTTCATTGTTATTAATGCTTTGGGTTATGGTGTTCATTTTATATAACCCACTTTAAAATCGCTTTTTGTTTTGTCATTTTCTGTTTTTTATTGAGCAACTTTATTTTCAAGTTAAAAAATGTGAAAATATTTTTAAAACAGAGAAGCGAACTGATAGGTCTGCAGTTTCAGGTGCCATCCGTCTCAAAATATCGGTTGAGATCAAAGGTGAAGAGAAGGTTGCCCCGTACCACGTGCAATACAACTGCCTTCATGAGAACCTCTTCCAATACCTCCTGGACAACAACGGCACATATTTTAGGTTGCCCACTCCTAAGAAATCAGTAAGGATTAGACTTTTTATCGCATATTAGTAAATAAATGAAAATAAACAAAAATTAATAAAAAATTAATAAGTGTGCGTGCATGTGTATTAAGTTCCGTTACTATAGTTTAAAATTAAATCAAATCAACATTTTGACGGTTTAAAACATTGTTTCTATTGAGTAAGATGTGTAAAACTAAAGAAGAAAAATAAATAAAAGTGTAAAACGGCTAGTTAATGGTTTTCTAAACAAAAAATTATAAAATTTATTTCAAATATGCGTTAATTTACCTACTCTTTTTAAGTTTTTTAATTTTTTCAATAGGATGATTGGAAGGTTTATTTCGACGCACGATCTCAGGAAATAGTTGATGAGTTTGCGATGAGATATGGAATCGAATCAATTTATCAGACCATGCTGTTAGATGCTTTCTATTTTTGTTTTTAATTCAAGTGGTTCGTGAACTTTTGTCTCATAAATCCAATAACAATCAATTTATGTACTGTTTATCAATATAATATCAGTCAAACAAATGACGGACATTAGTAAACATGTTCAACTGCCCATGTCAGGCAGTTCTCCTGCTTGTTTCCACTATGCAAGAAGCCAAACATCGCTGCAGTGCTGAATAGTTTGCTAACAAACATTATTTCATTCTACGCTCACAACTCTTCAACAAACTCCATAACAGCAAGTGACAGATTGAATTCATCCAATTTTGGAGTTGGTTTTTAAATTTTTGGTTATCAAATTTTTGATTAAGTTTGAAGATGATGTTATCAGATATTTTCAATTGGAATTATGTTTGTAAGGCTAAAATATTTTTTAATATACATAGTTATCATTTTTTGTTTCAGAAAGATAAGTTTGTTCGAATTTTGGACCAGTTGAATAATTCGTTGAGAATCGATTTATCTTTATATCGAGTGAGTTCATTTTCATTTCATTTCGTGCAAGTTTAATTTTTTTTTGGTGTTGCTTATCTCCCATTTACGATTAGTTTAAATTTTCATCTCAGTTTTTGCATGCATTCAATTAGTTTCACTAAAAGAAAGCACTGGCCGAATGATATAATTTGGCGTAAAAGACTTATTTTCAAATAATATTTTTTTATGAATTTAAAGTTTCATTCAATAAAATTTTAACAGACGACATTCTCGTCTCAAGACGAAGATAGGTTGGAAGATCTGAGGTCATCTATCAAATTATTAATCAGCATTTCAAATTTCAGAACCAAGGTTTGTCGTTTCTTATATATGGTGTTTAATTTCAATCTTTAAATATCTTTTCGTTTCTCTTCATTTTTCTCATAAACTGTTGAATGATAAAAATTTGAGTAAACTTTTTTAGAGCTTGTGACGTTAAACAACAAAAACTAGTTGGTTCGAGAGAATTTTTTATTTCGTGTTTAACTCTATCTTCAAACTTATTGAGTTAGTCAACCGTTTACCGGTATTAACAAATGAAAAACCGATCGACAACTGGTTATCCAGGTGCAAGAATTATCCAGCCCACTGAAAGTATCCGTCATAATATCGGACTGCGTGAAAGCCTGCATCACTTCATCTTATCAACACATATTCAACAACTGTATCGAGTTGTACGCCAAGGAATTTGAATCCGACTCAACGAATGCTGACCACGGTCACAACAACAGCACCCAAGAACAACAACAAAAACAACAACAACAGACTGATGAAGGTCCAGGATGTACGAAGCATTTATCATTCTGGATGAAATTGATAATGTTGATGATATTGACGATCGATGAGGATATCAACGTCTACTCCAATGTCTTTGATCAGTATGTCTGCTTTCCTATCTAATTACCAAAATGTCGGAGTCTATTTCACCCGACTCAGACTCTCTTCTAATTACTCTCTGATGATAATTATTATTGTTTATTCTAGAATAATATTTGAAAAATTAGTTTAAGAATTTTATTATCATTTGTTCATTAGTAATACAATTATTATTAACCTGCATTGAAAGATTTTTTGACGACTTGAACGTTGGCAACATCAGCGCAGTTACTCAGTGGCAACTCTTCTGCCAAGATCTCAAGTTCCTTCTTGAAGGTCAGCATCGATGAATCCCACGTCTCACGCAATTGCTGTTTTTTTCTGCCGTTTAAATTTATTAGGAGTGAGAAAAAAATACAATTGTGTGTTAATCTATTTAGGTTGTGTTGAACCATGTTCAATAATTTTATCAAAAGTTTACTAGCAAAATATTATTGATGGTAATAAAATTCTACTTCTTATCTAACATATAGCGGTTTGTTCAATTGTTTAATTTCTTCGACCAAATTTGTGACAGATCATTGCAAGGAGACACATTGTGCCACGTCCGATTATGTGAACTTGCACAACAGGGTCAACAGCTTCTACGACAAATTCATCGCAGTACTGCCGGCGTCCTCTCACTTTGAATGGTCCTCAAGGAATGCCAAAAATAACGAAATTGATGGGGAAGTTGATGAGAACGAAGATACGTCAACAATGCCTTCCTTTCCTTTGTTAGTCATTACCGTCATCGTCTTCATTATTTCCACCATATCTTTAAAATGTTATCGTGATTTAAAAATTTGAAGATGGTTTGAACATTTCATTCAAAAGTGGTTTAAAGAAAATGACGATGCCTCAGTTGCTCTTGCTAAAAACGCTTATTTGAGAGATAAAAAAGAAAAAGTAATGTTTTAACCTTGTTTTATAAATGTGTAAACACCCAAAAGCTTTGTTTTTACTGATATTCAACAACTTATTTATTTGTTTCTATGAAATTTATCAACTTCCCCATGTTAGTTTCCTAAAGCATCTCCTCCTGTCCTCTTTTCTTGTTCAGTGACGGACGTCTTCACGCAGCTGAACCAATGTTACACAGTTGTGAGCACCCTCATCAAACCGCATGCCTCAACCGGACTCAGATATCTCATGGCATTTGCTTCTGTTAGTTTAGAAAATTCTTTCTTTTTTATACTTACATGCATTCAAATGCTTCTTTTTTTGTTATGAAACATTCCGGATGTACTCAAATTTTTAAATTATTTTTTTTCAGTAGATAGTGATTTATTAATTTGTTAACAGGTTTAGGTGTCAAATTACCATCATGTTGAAATAAAAAAACAAGACATTTATCATTGTATTGGTGTTTTAATTCTTAAAAAATATTTTTTAACTTTTCAGAGATGTTTGTTACATTTTTTAACAGACAATAGAAAATGTTTTGATGTCTTACTCCAGCAACTTGAAAGAGGATTTCCCATCTTTTTGCAACGATAACAGCATAGTCAGTTTTAAATTTTACTTTCCGTATGACTTAGTTGTTTTTTATTGAATGACTCTGTCAAACGATAAGTTGCTTAATTATCAATCATTTTCAACTAGCTGAGCTACAGAGATTGTAACGCCAGGACCACTTATACATAAACCAACTGTACGATCTAAATTGTAATAGCGCAAAATTTAGAATTCAGATGAAATTTATCGCGTGGTCGTTAATGTAGAATGTTTTATAATTTCAATGAAATTAGTTTATTTAGCATTCTTACGTTTGGCAAAAAATGAACAAATTCTTAGAGTTGCAGATTAATGAACAACATACAACAACTAAGAATTGAACTTGAAAAGATTTTCCTCATCATGGGTGGTGATAAGGTGTGTTTGTTCGTTCATTTTTTTGTCGTTTGCTTCACTGATGTTTTATATTTAAATGAAGCCTATACATTTTTCAATTGCGTAAAACGAAAGCAGTTTTTGGATAACAGTTCAATATGGAATTTTATATTCTATATATCAGTGAGGCTACCAGAAGCTAATTTAGTTGAAAAAGTTTCTATTCAAAGTGAAATTGCAATTTCCGAGTTCTGCCGATTTCAATCAACCACCTTCAACTGAATGGATGCACGATAATACTTGTTAACAAAATAAAAAACTTAGTCATAAACATCTGTTTGCATCTACTCCTCTTTTATTTAACCTCTAAATGCCCTTGTTTCGTTCAACTGGACATGGGATCTTTGACGGAACGTTTGGCGTAAGCATTCACAGCGAGGCCTGAATGAACATGTCTTAAAACTAAAACAATTTACTTTGGTTTTTCAACAACAGTTATTTATTTTTTTTTAAAAGATAGCCAAAAATGCAATTTTCATAAAACAGGCTTCTATTTTTTGACTTTAGAACTTCGATTTTGTTTTTATTTTAATTGTACGTTGTGTTAATCTCTTGAAAGTTGTTATAATCAAATTTGATTTATTTTTTATTATTCAACAAATAATGAACAGATGAAGGCGCAAGTTGTTTTATTTTTGAACGGCGTTCAGCAAAAATTGAGTTCGGTGTTGGATCAGACAATTGCCATATTTTGTAACAGGTGAGTTGACTCAATATTATCCAATTCACATCATATGTAACTAATATTGCCTTCACTTCAAATCAAAACTAGAATCATTCGACTCACGTCTGCACAACATTTTATCAGTTTGACGCCATTTGTTGCCGAGAAAGTAACGGAGATGAGTCACTTGTTGGCAGCCGTTCAGGGACAAGGTCAAATATTATTATCACAACCGAGCCAGAAAAATGCCATCATCAACGAATCAAACAAGACACTCAGTCCTTTGATTGATTACTTAGATGCAAAGTTTGTTGCTCATTTCAAATAATAGTAATAATAATAATAGTAAATTTTTAAATGATCAATGATCACAATTATTTGCTTGCTTATATAAAACACAATTTTCAGCATAAAATTATAAAAGCTTTTGCAGTAGTTTTACTAACTTTTTAGTGTAATATAATATTTGTTTGAAAAAAATGAACTGAATTTAAATATTTTTAACAGACGCCTAACATTCCAGCCATTTAACATAACTTGCCAATCGTGAAAATTCATCAACATAACCACATTAGTAATTTATAATTTGCATCAAATTGAACTTGTTTTTCAACTGTTTAATTTTGCAGTCTTGCAATATTTGCCCAACTTTGTGAAAAAACGGTTCTTAAAAGGTTATTAAAAGTAAGTTTTCAGTGCCAACAAGTTAATTTTTGAATAATTTTTATAATTTAGAAATACATTTTTTGTTAAGAATACGCTTACTTTTTATCATTAAAATATTTTTATAAACGTTTTATATACTTCATGTAGTCGAAGTCGACCTCAATTTGTCAACTTTTCACAGTTTAAAGTTTAAATTTAATCAATCCTCTGCTGCTGTTCACTGCGTGTGACGTAGTCCGGTTGAAGTTACAAATGAATCAGATTTTTTAAGTTTCAAATGCTCGTTTATTGTTGCAAAAACCAACCATCCAGGCGTTGTGGAGAGTTGTGATGAGAAAGTTGGAAGTTCAAATTGTTCTTCCTCCGGTGCAGTCCAACAAACAGGTAGGTACATATCACATGTTTTTTTGCTCCTGAAATTGAATTTTCTTTATTGGATATGAAAAAAAACACAAAACCTCCTAAATGCTCCTAATGATATTATTCTGACTTTAGTCAATAATGTGACATTAGCTTGTTCATAGAAAATAATTTTTGATAATAATTTAATAGATCTTATATTTTTTTTTAGAACTTTTTCGTATTTCAAAGTTTTATCCATTATTAACATATTTAAAGAAATTTCTGGAAATTAACTTTTGGATAGGTGTGGCAGTAATTAATTTATTTAACTAACCGAACAGTCGTTTCCTGAGCTACCAGTTGATTTGCTGTCTCAGATTCAACAAAAACAAACCAAACTAGTTATAAACTTGTCTGAGAAACAGCGGATGGTTTTAGAAATGATTTTAGACACATTGAAACAATTTTTCTGGGCTAATAACAACGGCCTGAAAAAATCTTTCCTGCAAAGAGATTTGAGTTATCAAACCCTTGTCAACGCTCTTTTCATGTACACCCAATCAACGGATATTTTGATCAAAGCTTTCGTTGAGTCTCAATCTTGCCAGGGTAAGATATTTTTTTTAAAGATGTCATGAATGATGCAGCTCTTTCCGTGATGGGAATGTTGCTATATTTATTTTGACATGATGTCTATTTACTTCATGCAATTCTGCAATTCTTGAACTGACAACAAACTTTTAAAATACAACGTCCAAAGTTCAGATAACGCTAGTGAAATGCTCATATAAAAATTGAAGTTTTTAAAATAACATAAATGCAATTGATTATCTCAAGCACATTCTAGCTTCATACGTTTCGAATTGAAAAATGAAACAATTATTGTCGATAAAGATTACGATAGAAATCAAATAAATTTAACAGTTGGAAAAAAACGTTTTTAGTTGATATCTTGATTTTCAGTTCCGGACAGATTTCCAGACGACACTCCAAATGAGAACTATGGTATGCTGTCCATGCAGCTGGACTTCTTCACCCACCCTGCCACTGGCGACCACAAAATCACAGTCAAAAGTATTTTCATTTTACGTACAACTCTTCAATGATTTTATATTTGGTGATATTCAATTTTCGACAACAGTAGTGGCAGTGGCAGACATTGTGTGGAACCAGAAATCTTCCAATATTTTCCAGCCGTTCTTGAAGCTGCACATGCTGGGACCAAACATGGCTACTCGAAGAAGGGTCGAGTCGACCAAAGTGAAGAGTGGCCTTTTCCCAAAATTTAACGAATCGTTCACTTTGTCAGTAATATGTTTTTTGTTTTTTAAATAATTTTCTGCCGATATATTGCAAAACGTAAATTGTTAATTACCAGTGAAAACTCTGTTACGTTTTGCATTTAATTTTTTATTAACTCTTTTAAAATTTCATTCATGCAGTTTTTTAGATAATGAGTGTGAACTTGAGTTTTATGAGCTGCACATCTGTCTGAAGGATTATTGTTTTGCCAGAGAGGATAGACTCATCGGTGTGTCAGTTTATCAATTGAGAGATATAGTGGATCAGCAGAGGACCAACTGTTCTTCCTGGCTCTGCTTTAAAAGGTTCGCTTAATTATTTTCTATCATTGCCGTAAAGCTGCCTGTTTTGAAAGCAGATGTATGTAGTTGGCTTAGTTGGGGTGCCACTGTTCTCCGTCCCTTAAAGAAGCCGCTGTTCAGTGGCCTGGTTCGCTTGCACAACAGTCTGACCATTATTCATTATATTGTGCTTTTTGCATACATTGTCATGTGGTTGTGAAAACTAACAATACTATTATTATCATCAGTAGTAATAATAGTAATTATGAAAAATATAAACTATAGACGACAATAATAACATGATCGATTTAGCAATGATTACAAAATTTAAAATTTTTAAAAGAATGAGTTTTTATAAAATGAAACTGATCATAAAACGCTAATGAAAGTGTCAAATAGCCAAATTAATAATAATTAAACTGTTTGAATGTGATGTACATCATCCAGATCCGTGTACGTGGACGAGATCGGCTACATGATCCTCAGAGTTCTCTCGCAAAGGACCAATGATCAAATCGCAAAAGAATTTTTTAAATTAAAAACGGAAGTCCGATATTCATGATTTTTTGCTGAAAATTTATTTTTACTTCAATCACTTGAAGCTGTAAATTTTGATTATTAATATAAACCTGCAAAATTCTAATAATACATTTTTATATGTGAAACTTTAATTTTTTACGAGACAAAGTTACTTATCCGAAACTTACTTGTTTCTCAAAATGGTAAATAAATTATAGTAGTTGGAAATCTCAAAATGAATAAAACGTTATTTTTATGTTTTGCAATGATTTTCATTTTAAAATTAAGTATCTTAATTAGCAAGCGCAAATGCACTCGCATTGCCCAATAGGAACGTTCGTTGGTCAACATAGTCTGTTGTACATATGCTAAAAGTTCGGTTTAAGCCAGTAGAACCAAAAGCTAAATATATTCTTAAAATCTTTGGAATAAATTTCACAAAGACTGTTTTGGTTAAACATTCAAAGTAATGGATAGATGATGATAAAACTATTATTTTGATATTTTGAAATTATTTTTAGTGGTTGGCCTGGTAGATGTTAGGAGCGACTAAGGAACAATTGCGTCAATACGCAAATTCTTTCAGCACTGAATGAAAAATTTCACATTTTCAGAAGACTGGACTGATTTTGCAACTATTCATCTGCTGTTAAGTTCAACAAGTGTAAATTATATATATATATATATATATATATATATATATATTTCATTGATTCTGATTTTTGTATAAATTAAATTTTTTTAATTTAAAAAAATAAAAAATTTTATTTTCAAAAAGTTTTACTTATTTTTTGAAAAATTAAACATTGAGATTATTATTTATCTAGTTCCGGAAAATTTAAAAAATAAGTATTTATGGTTGAACAAACTGCAAATAAAGAATAATATCATGTTAGATTAAATTTGTTTTGTCTTCTGTACGAAACTTCAATGGGAGATTTTTCGATTGTTACTTTTCGAAGAAAATTGTCTTGATTTTTGTTGTACTTGCAATGGCGGTGAGCATTGGGCCGCTTGTGTACAATGTTGTTTGAATTGTTACTGCCAATTTCATAAAATTTTATACGAGATTTATTTTCTTCGAAAGATTCTTGCGAGGAATTTGAAGGTGATGCTGTTGATGATGTAGGCAACTCTTGTTCGTTGCTGGCATCTTCGTCGTCTTCATCTGCGTCCAAGCGAGATGTATCATTTTTGTTTTTCAAATCTTTCAGCAGTTCATTAAGTTTCGACAACGTTTGATGTTTTTTGTTTCTTTCATTATAAAGTGGATTTGCACTATTGATATATCTTTTATTTTTGCATGAATTCTCCTTTTCTCCGTTTATTAAAGATTGTAATTCCTCTAAAATTTTTGAGTGCGAACGGTTTTGTGCGGCTTTGAAATTGGCACCATTTGTGCCTCTGTTGAAATATTTCAAAGAATGTTTAAAGGAATCAGCCTCATGTTTTAGATCAATATATTTGCATCTCTTATCATATTCAACTTTAATTTCTTTTAAACGAGTTGAACTGCCTGACGAGATTATTGATGGGATAGATGAGTCCTCTCCATTTGTCGACGTTCGCTCACCTGTTTTGTGCCGATAATTTCTATTATGCTTTTTGCCAAGAGTGTTTTCATCGACATTGCCGTTCAAACTTTTCTCCACACTGGTTTTTTTTATATTATCCTTTGCTAATTTCATTTTCGAGTTGTTTGAAATATTTTCTCTACACACCTTGGAACATGAAAAATGGCACGACTTGTCATTGCACAATGATTTTGTTCTTTTTTTATCCCATATTGCAAATCTAATTGATTTGGGAATAACTATAGGATCGTTGTCATCGTCGTCGTCTTCGTCGTTGGTTTCTTTGTTGTCGCATTCACTTTCGCTCTGGCAGTCACCACCTGCTCCTCGCTCGTGTCGAGTCTTCCCATCCATGTCAGTCACGTCATCGGTACGATAGCGAGTCGAATCCTCATTTTCATGACAGTAATTTTTGTTCTTTTTTGCTGAATTCGGTGCTACCACAACCGCTACAGGTGCCGAAGTTATGGAATGAAATGATTCTGACTTTTGGTAAAGCTTAATATATTGTTCAAATAAACGCTTGTTTAGTTGGCGAGCAATCTCTAAGTCGTGTTTCAACTTTTTCAACCTTTTTCGCTGTTCTAAAAATTTTTTCTTGTAATTTTCGTTTTTATAATGCAAACGTGACTCGTACTCTTGCTTCTTGAGACTTTTGTCCGTCTCGTCAGGCTCGTTTGTTTCTGGTTTGTACCTGCTTTCTAAATAATTTATTCTCTCTAACAAAATCTTTCGTTCCTTCAGACTTTGAGAAATCAAATCTCGACAATCTCCCAACAATCTTGCCATATTCACAATTCGATTTTGAAGAGATTCGCATTCTGTCCTGGTATTGATATATTGTTGTTCGTAATATTCTGGCTCGCCGTTGCCGAAAGTCTGACCGTTGGCGTACATTCCTAATATTCCTTAGCACAACCACGCTCTAATTCAACAGTAGACGCCAACTCGAAATGAGCAACCACATTTTAGAGAAATTTCATTTCGCCGATTAACACTAAAACAGTTTTCAAAATAAATTTTAGTGTTTTGGAATTTTAATTTTATTTCCAATAACAAAAACATTGCGTCATAATTTTAACGTCAAATATTTTTATTCTATTATTTTTTTTTTCAAAAAATATTTACAAATCAAACAAAAGTCTGATAATAATTGTTGTTGCGATGGAATGTTAAATTAAGCAATGTTTAAATTAAAACGATATGGCAGAATGATAAAACAAATTTAAGGATACGGTTGAATGTTCAACTCTGCCGCATGTCAGTCTTCATTAGGTACTTAAGCTTGTTCATTAAAGTATATAGATTGTAAATATAAATTGTAAATTTGATTGTAAAAAAAATGAAATTACACAAAATTTTTTTAAATAAAAATAATGTCACAAGGCATGAATCCAAGGCCTCCAAATATGTTTGCTGATGACTGTTGAAAATGTGACGGGAGATGACAACGGCGAGGGTAGGACTAACGGCGAAAAATCTTTCATTTTTATAGCTTTTAATTTATTTGTTGTTGTAAAATGCACGTTTCCCTCGTTACTTGGTGTTGAACTACCAGCTGGTGAAGATGTTTTAAAGTCGGTTGAGTTTTCCAAATTCATAAGAATGATATTTGTAGGCTTGGATAGTTTGTTTGTTATGTTAGTTAAAAAATTGTGTCTGTCCGCTTGTTTTTCACTTAGAAAGTTATTTCGATGATTAGATTGACCACCCATATCCCAGCGTGACATTTCAGACGTTGCAGCCGTAGAAACGTTAGTGTCGTTGTTGGTCTTGTGTGGACTGTCTACTGGGAGGCCGATGTTTTCCGAATTCACATTACCATTCTCCGATGGTGTTGATGAATTTGTTTTTGTTAAAAAATTCTTTTCGCTGTCGGAAGCTGTATAAAAATTTGTTTTGTTCAAAAATTTACATTTGTTTTTTGTTGAGCATTTGTAAATATCGATGAAGTTATTCGGCTGTGGAAAAGTTATTTCGCTGCTTCTGTGCCTTTGTAAAGTTTTTAAATACGCCACCGTCATCTCCAATATGTCAGCTTTCTCCATTTTCGAGTAACAAGACTCCTGAAATTAATTTATTGAAGAGTTAATTTTCATCATTTCATACGTCATGCATAATTATTTCACACGTAAAAAAAAGTGCCGATTCCTTATGAGAAACGTCGTCATGTGAAATGTTACGGAGTTCGTTCATATCTTAAATTGTTGTCACATGTGATACAACGAACCACGAAGAATGCCTATGGGAATGTATTTGCGTGATGAAGCGAAAGTGGGGGAAAACTAACAATGAGATTTAATGTCTCAAAGATTTCCACGTGACGTTCCCAACATTCAAGTATCTTCTAACAAATTATTTTCTGCGCTACATTGCCGGCGTATGCGATCTTACTTAATTACAACATTTTTGTGTGAATAAAAATCCCTTACAAATTGCTGAACTGATGCAGATACCTATAAATAAATGTTACTCTTTTCATTGTTTGTTATCGTTTGTTATTGTTTGTCGAAACAATTTCGGTATTCAAAATCGATTGAAATAATAAGAGCACAATAATTTAATTACCCTCAATGAACAGCTAGCTAGATGCCAGTTTTATTACGTGTCTGTAGATGTTTCATTAAAATTAAAGAACAATTAAATGCCTTGATGGTAATTGTTGCGAAGGGAACAAGCCTAGATATGATGTGATGCAATCTTCTGCATTGTACACCGTCAAACTCAAACAATGCGCTTGTTCGCGTGCTTATGCGTTTGTGTTTATTTGTGTGTGTGTGTATTGGTGTGTGCGTGAATGTGTATGTATGTTCGTGATTGTCGCATGTGTGTATATGTGTACAATGCATGCCTTGTTTTATTTCGTTCACACGATGTGGTAGTGAGTAACAGGAATGTCTATGTTGTAATGACTTGCTCATATTATTTCGTCTCCTACTAATTTTTATTAATTATTTTTATTTCGTCAACATTAAATCTCAATTTAATATTTATTTTTTATAATTTTATCGATTTTTATCTCATTCATCACGGAAACAACATCATCACCAACTGCAACAACATCATCTTCATCATCATCTTCCTCATCATCGTGCATCTTCACCATCACCAACATCTTCACCATCACCAACATTCCAACAGCAGCACTCACTACCAACATCTTTGTTGCGTGCCTCCAGCACGAGTACCTTCAACTCCCTCAAACAGTGATTTATCCTTTCCCGACGTTTTCTTTCAATCAGGGGTTTTTTAATCTGCAAGTGGGTAGGTAGGCTTGTCAATAGTAATCTATCATACATACGAACATTCTCATCAGCATTCCCAAACATCAATGATTTATTTCGTCTTTTTTTTGCGGACGTTCAAACTCAATATGTATACAACTTAGTTTTTCAGTTTTAAGTATTGTAATTTCACATTCATTGTTTAATTTGTTGATGTAATCAATTGAATTCTTGATACCGTTAACATCACATTAATATCATCAACAGCGTCATTGTGTAAGAAAAGTGTGATGACAGGTGTACCACAAGGTCTCAATTTTAACACTTTACAAATATACGTGCACGCATGCAAGCACCAGCATACAAACATATACACACATATTTGTACATTTCAAGTTCACGCAGGATGTTGAGATATTTAACAATCCTACTTATACCTAAAAAGATCACAGGCGTTCCTTTTAAGAAAAACCAAAGAGAAAATAATAAAAAATATTTTATACAATTGAAACAGCATTCTAAAATAATAACAAAAAATAAAAATATTCAAGTGCGAGTCAAACCTTCCTCAGTTCTGCATTGGATGTTGATGAGACTAACTTTGGTGACAAGCTGCACATCTCAACTGCTCTGCAGATGTTCTTCTTGGTGGCAACCAGCTTTATGTAGTTTTGTTATTGCTGTTGTTTCTAGAGTTATTGTTGTTGTTATTAATATTGTTGTTGCTATTTATATAGTTGTTGTTGTTGTTAATATTATTATTATTGTTGTCGTTGTTATTGTTTTGTTAATGTTGCGACTTGTCAGCTTTTCAAATAGTTGCTGCAGCTAACAGGCGTTTGATGACATGTTATATATGTTATATGTTATAATGTTACTTTTACCTCCAATTTGTCTAGAAAAAAATTTGCATAACAAAACTTTGTATTTTTAACTGAAATAAATAAACAGGGATAACCATGAACGTTTAAACAACCACGTCAAATGAATGAAAGGACTTAGTTGACGTTGCTGACTTTTATACTCACTGAAGCGCTCACACACCACACACACACACACAATACATGCACATACACACGAAACACATACACACACATGTACTAAACAATTAATGTATACAATACATGCACTGCTATCTATGCTACAAAACAATGCACGGCGTTCGCTCACTTCATACGGATGAGTTTACTTTATTCATTTAAATATTGTATTATGTTGTAAGGTGATGTAATGATGTTTACAGCGAAGTTGTCATTAGGACAAGGTTGTAATACGCATTTATATAATGATTACAACGATCACATTTGATTTTGACGTTGAAAATTTTTATTTTTTTTTTTGCATATTCCTTGATATTTGATTAGTTTAACGTTGAGGGTTTGTCAAAATATCAGTCAGCTTATGGTCTGATGATTTGTCAGATGATGCGTCTCTGTTAACCTTCTCTAGATCAACCACCGTTTACGTAATGTGGAAAATTGTATATATTACGACTTAAAAATAAGAAATTATGTTCGAGTTTTTTTGTTTTTCAACATTTTTCTATTTCCGTACTCCCTGTAGACTCGCCATTGTTTATTTGTTTGTTTGTGTGTGTGTATGTGCGTGTTTGTTTGTGTGTGTGTGTGAGTGTGTGTGTGTATGTGTGTGTGTGTGTATGTGTGTGTGTGTGTGTTTGTGTGTTGAGTGTGTCTGCGATATAATTATAACGTGATAATGTCGTGTCTTTCGGCACATCTAAATGTAATATGAATTTCCTAACATAATTTCCCATCACAATTACGTCAATTATTTATATTCAAACGTACAATCATTCACACACTCACACACAAACACACACACACACATACATACAAACCCTCACACAAAAACACAAAAGGACACATTTCCACAGACACACACACGACACATACAGACACACACACAAACACACACGCACACACACACACACACACGTACGCAAACGAATGTCAGCAAACGCGGACAGAGACAAGAGCACGAACGTCTGCATAGTAATAATAATATCATGCTAAACAAGCAACTTCAGAATTTCTCACGATCGCATACTACCATTACGATGAGATTATTTGCAGGAGTATGGCGTGTGCTCCGAAGAAGTATGATTGAATAAATAAACAATATTCGCATGAATATAATACGGTTCAGCACACAAACCAGAATATATGGTGAGATTTGTGTACGTACGTACGTAGATGAATGCTAACACACGACTGACATATCTCATGATGATCAGTCGTATCAAACATAACAAAGCGCATTCTTCTGACAACTGTTGAACAATGAATATGAATATCTGTTTGATTGGGGGATTGGATTGTTAATTTATTGAAAGCACATTTATTGAGCGCGTGCATCGCAGTGCAGCATAATTGAAGTGCAGGTGCCATTATACCTACGCATACGTAAGCTGCTGCTACTTGTCATCTGCCTGCAACAACATCTGACGGCAACAGCGCTCGCTATCTACTGTGGTGTGGTGTGGTGTGGTGTGGTGGAGTTTTAAATGTTGCGACGCTATTTTAATTGATGCTAACAAAACAACATCAGCATCAATAATACTGCAATAATCAAAATTAAAATATTTGTTTGCAATAACAAAAACAATGACCACAAAAACAACAACAACAAGAACAACAGCAACAACAACAACAACAATAACAACAATCATAAAAGGCAGCAACAACAACAACAGCAACAACAGCACCCACAACAACAACCATGACAACAACGCCAACAAATTCCCACGGCCAATAGCACAAACAACTTCACGTTCTTTACTACAGGCTCGTTGTCATATGCAGATCATTACCATTACTTCATGTGAAATCTCCGCCCACATCAGCACTTTGTGGTGTGACTGGGCGTCGCTTTTTGGGCTTGATTGACAGATAGCAACAACAAAAATTTTTTACGCTAATGTATATTTTTCGGAAATTTAACTACATTTCAAAACCATAAAACAATAAATACTGACATAAATAAATCATGATGACAGAAATGAACAAATGAACAAATGAACGAACGAACGAATGAATGAAAATGAAAGAACAAACGAACGAACGAGCGAATGAATGAATGAAAAATAAACAAATGATTTCATTACTAAGACATATTTTTAGCTTTAATTTGAAATATTTATGGAGTAGTTGTTATTAACATATATGTATAATAAATGTTTAGCAAGAAAGTTGTGTTAGGGTTGAAGAGTTAGAATGTCAGCTAGACAATAAAAGCCAACATTTTTTAACCGAACGTTACCGACACGACATGTTTAAGCCGTGGTATTAATGATCCGGCTTAATTTTGCATCTTTTATTCCATTTTGCCTTCCATTGTGCTAACTCATCTTGGACGCAGAAGATAATAACATGCTGCTTTTGTTTTCTTTTCAATTTTTTTATTTAAAATTAAACCAGGCTAAGTTTTCTGTACACTCAAGCTAAGTAAGTTTGGTATAAAGTTTAAATCACATGAACATTTGTAACAGAAAATTTTTATTTCGACGAGCATTTCTTGGCATTTTTGCAATCAGCTAATTGTATATTTATTTATTACATTCTTAGCTGGTGATAGCTCAACAGTGATTGATACATGTAGGCGCAAGTTTAGATTATTGCGTATATATGTATGTGTATCATAAATACAATTATTATTATTTATTTATATTGATATTTATAATAATAGAAAAAAATAATTTTTTTAACTATAGTAATCGCAACAACCACCACTTGCAGCCACATGACGACATCCACGCCACGCCACATATCTTCACGACAAATTCTCACGCTGTCTCCTCGACGCACGACGAGCGAGCCCACATGACACGTCAAGTGTATGAAGTGCATACTTCTGCTCTGCAAGGGCAATATTTTTGCAACGTCTCTACTCCATATTCAATGGGGCCTACAATCTCACAACTGCTGCTACAACATATACTACAATCTAACTTCAAACAACTTTATTATAAAATGCCACCACATAACTACAACAACACTTATCTTTACAGTCCACACATAACTGCTACACTCTCTTTACTCTATTAGCTTCTTTTTTGTGTTTTGTTCAATTTTTGTTCCGTGATGTTTAGTTTATTCTTCTTGCTTGGGGAGCTTTCCAAGATTTGCTCGGGTTGTTACTGGATGCAGTGCACATGTTTCTGCTTGGTCTTTTGGAATTTAAAAAATATTTGTGCCTGCCTCTAAGTGTACAAAATTTTATGAGATCACTTGGAGACAGTAGTTAATACAAATATGCAACATCTGTCTTTAAAATGTTTGCTTTTTTGAAAAAGTTAAAAATTGATGAGTCAAGATGATAAGGTGTAATTTAATAAAAAAAAATATAATTTACGAGGTAATATTTTGTGTTATTGTTGTGACTATTCAACATACGCACATAACTATAAAAACCAAAACATCATTACCATACCAGCACCCTTAGTCATTTTATTTTAACGTAAGCTCAATTTTTTCGCACGCTCTAGTATTATTGACTAATTAAGGCTCACTTGATGTGGCCACGTTAATTGTCATACAAGATATTATTAATCAGCATTCAATAGGCAATTATGTATCAAACGTTACACAACTCACACATAATATACACTGCCATCACAACCACATACGCACACAATGAGGTCTCTACTCCTATATCTCCTATATATATATATATATATATATATATATATATATATATATATAATACATTTATTACTTGATAATTGAATGATTTGTCGTCTCCTGTTATAACAGCAAGTCACCAACAAAAAGTTAAAGTCCTACTGCGTGTGAACATGAATGCTTCAGAAAAGAGGAACGGTGAGAATTTTGAGCGGATGTTGTTTTTAAGACACGTGACTCTCTTGGCCCATTTCATTGATATAGGTGATCAAATTTGTTGATTTTCTGCTTGCGATGAAATGTTAGCAAGGTTATTTTGCGGGCTTTGAAACGTTCATTTGAAAATTTTATTTAATTTTATATCACTTGGTAATAATGAAAAAGAAATAATTATCGCATTATAAATTGATGATAGTTTGCTTTCAATAAATCAGCATTATCATATCACATTTTTTTCTCAACTCAATCGCACAAATATACCCAAACACGAACACAGACATTGTTAATTGAAAACTATTCCCATACATACATTGTATATTTAATTATTTTTCTGTTTAGACGAGCTTCTCATGAAAAGTTACATCATTATTCCATTTTTTCATTTTTAAATGTCATAAATAATATAAGAAGTGAAATGTTTAGCATAGCAAGTTATTTTTATTCTTTTGTAAAGCTCGTGTTTCTATAATATTGCAGTCATGCTTAAAATCAACTTTGTACTGGGTGTTGTGCTCAGTTTGATATATATATATATTTTTTGAAATTTCAATATCATTTGCTTATGGCACTGTTAAATGATTTAATTAAAGGTTCTAATCTTTTGCTTAACATATTTGAGACAATGGTAAGAAAACGTTGAACTTCTGAAGGCTGGATGGAAACCTCTGCAAAGTTTATTTTCATCCAGACCAGAAATAAAAATTTCAAAAATAAATATATTCAAATACCTTTGTCCGCTAATTAATAAACATATCATTGTGTAAAAAATGAAGTTTTCGAGTTTCAGGTAATTTTTCGTCTATAATATACATTCGCACGTCTTTATGGACCAGCCGCACACATGTGAGCATGAACACTTGCAAACACGTAGGAATTTCTTCTTACACGTATCTAGTTTTTTATAGTTTCATGTTCCCAAGCTCATACGCGTAGTTGTTGCTATGTTGCTCTTGCTATTAAGTATCCCGTACGATGAAGAACGAACGTGGGAATCAGCCGGTCACACGTCAATTCACTTCGTTGCGAAAGAAGAATGTTGCATGAAGGAATGTACTCTACATACGCACATACATACAAAAGATTGCACTTTACAGCAGCACGTGAGCTCTTTCAAAACAACTTCTACTCCGTCAGCGCGCAAACAACTGTAATTTTATTAAAAAAAAAACTCAACTACTAAAAGTAAAAAACCTCAAAAAACTTTCGAATTTGAAAAATACAAAACGTTATTTTATTAAATTTTGATTGATTTAAATTTCTTGAATTAAAAATAAATTAAATCACTCATCAGTTATTCATAAGTATAAAAAATTCCTCTTTGATAGCCATAAACCGCTTCGTTCAGACGTGATAAATTTGTAATGAGAAACTGAGTGAACGATTGCAAGCATATATGCATGGATATATCCATGCATATATGTATGATTTGATCTATCGTTTAAGTTATTCCCGATTAACAATTACTGGTAGTATTGTTTGCAACAAATCACAAATATTTCAGATATCTGGTTGGAGTTTTTTGAGTAATCCGCTATTTATGATTCTTAAGTATTAAAGTCTTTCTACGAACTACAACAAACAATAAGTTGTTTTCGTTGGATGTCTGCAGTTTGTTATACATTTCAAATTTCAAGGAAGACATTTTTTTGTTCGGCGGTGGGTGTTATTTTTAACATTTAATATTATTTATTAACAATTTAGTAGCATTTTTCCTCAAAACATCTTTAATTATTCAAAAGTTTTGTCAAAAGCGCGTTCTCGTCCGCATTTGGTGTAAAGAATTTTGTCAGCCGAACGTGAAAATGAAGTCTCTTCTACAATTTAAAACTTCAAAAAAATTAGAGACCCTGATTTAAATTGCAATTAGAGACAAAACAGATATAAAATCATTATTTTTCCAAAAATTTATAAAAATCGTGAAAAATGGATTATAACTAATAATTTCAAGAGCAGTGCTAGTAATATTAAACTACGGAGAGCTTCATGAAAATGTTTATCAAAATTTTAATCTATAAAAAAATGAATGTTTATAACTTAAAATTCATTCATCTCAAAAAACAACAAAATATTCATTTAATATGGTAAAAATTAATCAAGAAGCAAGAATAAATGTTGAAAAACATTCTTTGTATTGTGTATTGTAATGATTACTTGAAAAAATTTAAACCTCCAATAGCCTACAATGCTTATATATATATATATATATATATATATATATATATATATATATATATATATATATATATATATATATACATACTTTCATTTCATTTTATGAGAATGTAACATTTTAAGAATTATGATAACAGCGCTAAGAAATAAAAACATTATTTACACAACAGAATGTTAACAAGATGGGGAATGGGTGAGATTAAGAAGAAAATAATTGAATTGATACAAATATTTCGAACCATTAAATGACAAAAACTAATAATTACATAACAAATATTGCTGCAAAACTATTAACAACAAAAATTAACATCAACAAAAATAAAACATTTTCATATACTAAAGGAAACCATTAACAATTTTATAAAAAACATCTTTCAACATTTAAAATTTTTCATTACAATTTCTAATTAATTATGTAGTTAATTGACAATATCGACTGATTACATACGTAAATATATATATATATATATATGAAGTAATTTATGAAATCTTCTGAATTTCTAGCATTGGACAGATTTTTGCTACATTTCTCAATATTTCTAAACAAATTCTTGTGGTCATTATTTATTTTATTAAAATTATATTAATATACCGTTTCCAATTCATTCTCGAGTCTATAGGACCGATTTTGCAATCATCTTCAGCGCTTGTTGCGGTTTATACAGAGAATTTGTATAATCCATATACATATATATATATATATATATATATATGTGTGTATGTTTGTGTGTGTGTACAACAAATGAACGTATGCACGCTGTATATGTACGTAATGAAACTTCAATAATATTTAAGATTGAATTATTTTTCATTACATTAAATCTACATTCGTTATTAACCAACACAAGTGGTAGGTAGTATAAGGAGCAAACTCCGTAGCATCTGCAACGTTCTTGTTTAAATAGTAGCGTCTGCATCGCCTGCATATATAAATATATATATATATATAGAGAGAGAGAGAGAGAAAGAGAGAGAGAAAGAAAGAGAGAAAGAAAGAGAGAGAATATTATTCAATCAACATCGTTATAAGGCAATCCAAATCAAGACGAAATTTCAGAATTGAAGAACCTTCAAGACCCTACCAATCTCCTCCAACTTTCTTCTAAAATAAATTGCTTCCAATTCCAGTAACTAACCACTATGGTATATCAACATTGTAGATTTATGATAAGTTACTGTGAGGATATATAATGGAAACAGTTTATATCAACGAAACAGCATTGTTCAATTTTGATAATGGATTAATAGATGAGGACACAAACAGTTTTTTTGGGTGAATTTGTTTAGATGAAAATTTCTTGCCTTTTTATTCACTCGTGATGTTATTGCTCAATTAATAATAGCGGCACGTTCCTTGAAAATGGATAGTTTCTTTGTTGAAATACATGACCATTGATTCCTGAAATGTGACAAATTGACCAGAAAAAATTAGAACGAGACTTCAAAATAGTTCTACTAACATATAAATGTGAAAGAAAGGGATATAATTTATAAAAATAGAAGTTTAGAAAATGAAGACAAAATTTTGAGTCAGTTAAATCGACAGAAACTGCTCCAACAGCAGGACCGAAGCAAGTATATAGGATTAGAAAAAAAAATGTTTAGCAAAAAGAAAAACGTGCTCTGTCTGAAACTGATATCGTAAAAAGTTACAGAGATAGTGTCAGTTATGAAAAGTAAAATCAAACAAGAAAGTAAGTATATTTAATGCCTATTTATAAAATAAATGTAGGTATAAAACTATGAGCACGTTTATTATTCTATTACCACAGAAGTCGTCCCAATTCAACATTTGCCCTAACAGAAAATTGCAACGGGTAATTTTTTAATAACCTGTACTTCAAAGAGGAATCAAATGATTTAATATCGATAAAATTGTCAATGCTATAAACTCGCTAAGTGCAAAAATATGACTGAGCGTCATGCTATTTAATTCTACTGATTAAGCAAACTGTAAATAAGTTTTTAACATACGATATTTACAAAATAAATAACAAATCAATCATTTGACCCCATTAAATAAGTAAACCCTGTGAAAAGACTGTAACATTTGCGGTAAGATGCAGAAATCTGTGAACATCCATTTCTCCTAACAATTATTAAGGGATAACTTTGCAAATTAGATAAAACATGAATTAGTTGAATGTAGAACTTAATAGAATGCATTAGAATTGAATCTGTTTTAACGTTGTGTACACTCGAATGATAAATTTTAATACAAATAAAGTGTTTTGACAATTAATATAAACATCAATCACGATATAAAATTTATAACCATGGTTTCAAAAAACACAAATATAGTTGCTATTAAAGGCCGATCAAAATTTCAATTGAAAAATTTGTCTGTTTTAAATTTTAATTCCTCACCAAATAAAGCAAATATCATCAGTCGTCAACGTAAAATGTCAACCACTTAAAATTTTGCAAAGCTTTTATGTCAAGTTCTTTTAATTTTATAAAAGTTCGTCCCGACGAAAACAGTTTTAGTATTCCTTGAGAGTACAATGGTATCACCTTATCGTATCATTCTCTTTGATTTTGCTAATGAAAATTTTGTTATGATTTACAATACGATAAAAGGATTGGACAAAAACATTTTAAATTGTACTGAAAATGTATTTCACATTTCTTAAAAATGTTGAGAATTAAAAGTTTACTGTTTGAAACAACCAAAAATCACTCAAGCCCTTTTCCCGTCATCCCGTTTCTAAACCATCTCAAACTTTCATTTATATTTTTATAAAACCTAATCTTTAAACTTTTAACAAAAGCTCATATTGTACAAATCGGTTTCATTTCATTTTTTAAAACTCATCTGACAGCGCCAGCATCAGCAGCCTCTTCTTCGTTGTCACATATTCACCATACCTGTTCAGAACAGCTAAAACTAAACGCATTTTTAAAAAATAGTTTACAAGAATCATTGTGACATAGACACAGGTCTCAAACTGTACATTTCACCAATCTTCATGCTTTCAAGTGAGTTTACCATTTAATATCCACGGACATCCATTTCTTGAGACATTCCACTAAAAATACTTTTGGTCATTTTTTACAACAATTTTGTAGGAGTGACAACTAAATTCTTTTCCAACTCGACTTTTTCTTTATTCGTTTTTATGATTTACACCAAGTGAAATCAGATCATGTGCAGTTAAGTACTTCGACTTCCTTCAGCTATTTCTGATTTTTTAATCTTTTATTCCATGGTTTATTCATCACATTTAAATAATAACATTATTATTTACGAATTTTATCTCATCTATTTCTTCTTTATTTATTATATGACTACTTTATTACTTCATAATGTTATCATGTAAATATATAGTTTACACATAAAATCAGGAAATATTTTCTTTCATCCAATTTCGTTTATGTCATCAGTAAAAAGGTTTATTATTTCCTATTTTCTGACCTAATTTGATCTAGTTTTCTACATTTGAATATTTTCTTGAAAACCGAACCTTAAATAGTTACATCTCGAAAATCTTTATAACTTCGAGTAAGGAGTCAGGGTTTCAATCCGTCGTCTAGTATTTTTTATCATATCCACAGCAGTGAGAATAATGCGATTTGGAATAACCAATATAAATCAAATTTTCTTAGCATTGTACAATTTTGTCGTAAATGAAATTTGCACACTCTGATGGAGAAACTTTGTTATACAGTATTCATTCCCGCATGTCAGCGGAAAATTGTGAAGCCATTGAGGCTGAATCATGACACTTTCAACTAAAACATTATACTCAAATGCTAATTACTAAATTTAAAAAGTATAAAGACAAATTTTACAAATCGGAACAGAAAACATGCGACAAACTGCTAGAAGGGGTTCAGAATCAGACAACGTGAATAACCAATATTTTGATGAACAACTTTAATGGAAATTTTTGTTAAGGAATGATCTATTGTAGAATTCTTCTGCTCTGGTATTTTACATATGTATGTGTAGCGCATATACAAATTTTTATGTTTAATATTAAAGCAATATTTAATTCAAAATATTAAATGGATGTAAATAATTAATAAAAACCGCAATTCTGCCGTAAGTGCTATCAAAAGACATGTTGAAATATTTTGCTAGATATAAACCTGAAATAAATTAACTACATAAAAGTCTTAACTAATGTACATCAACACGTTTTCTTAATGATGAATTAAAAAATCACATCATGCTTAATTTAGTAGCTAAGTAAAGAAATAATAAAAATAAAAAGTGAAGTGAAATACAGGCAATAAAATTCATCTAAAATGTAAAAATATGAACAAAAAAATTTGAAAAGATTAAGTACATACATGAAAAATTAAATTCTAATTGTTGAGTTCTGTAGCCCACAAATCAGTTGAAAAAATGAAAATAATTAACTAGATAAAGCGAATAGATATCTGAAGTTGCTTATTAATTATAAAGAAATCTTTTATTCAATTTGCTGTTGACTACATAATAATATTACATATAAACACACGCAGCTATATGCATATGAATAAATATGCGTTTGTATGGACACACACACCACATAAACACACACACACACACACACACACACACACACACACACACACACATATATATATATATATATATATATATATATATATATATATATATATATATATATATAATATTGATATATGACGAACATTGGAATCATGTAATTAAACTCACATTAATTGAAAAAACGATGCTCAAATCTTTCAAACATCTTAGTTAACCCGCTTCAACTTGACAATTTTATTTTGGAAACGCTTTAATAATAATATACAATCAGAACGTGCAGTTAATAATTACATATATACAAATATATATATATACGTTTCTATATATTTATACATATTTATATATGCGTGTGAATGTATGCAGCAGACAAAGAGGAGTGCATCTACGTAAAAACAAGATATGATGATTACGATGAATCATAAATCATAATCCAATTATTATATTTTAATTATAATTTCTAATTAAGCTCAGTAAAAAATAAAAATCTATTTTACAAAAATTAAAATTCAAGAAAGAAATAAATCAACGTGAATCCTAGTGTAATGTTGAGTAAATAATCACTTGAAATCATAAATAAAAAAAACGTATAAAAGAATCAAATGAACAAGGAGTAGATGAATCAATATGACAATCAAGAAGTCACCAATCAGTCAATCAGAAAACCAACTGCCTACAAACTGAGTCATCCACCCAATCAATCAATCAACATTTCACACAAAAAACATTAAACTCGTGCAGCTCAATTCCCTGAATATCGGAATTAAATTTTATTATTAAAAAAACCGTAACATTACAAATACATGCGAACGTGCAGCAGGCAATTACCACAACCAATCGATCATCGACCTAGCATCATATTCATGAGTAGACAGCGAAAAGTAAGATGATTAATAATAAGTTTCCATCTCCAGCCATCCACCTGGATTGCGACGTAAGATGTATCTTCGAATCTCATCGTAAATGAAAATAACAATACTGAACGGAAGAGGAACCAACCACCACGTCCATCTGAATGATGAAAAATTTACCATATTTAAAGAACATAAAAGATTTTTAGTAGTAATCAACGAAACATAATAACGAATGCAATAGCAAAATGATAACAATTGATGTACTGACTTCAATGGGTACATCCTTAGACCCTTATCGAGACCAGGACAGTAAGCAAGGAATGCAGCGAGGGTGGTCTCGAAGAACAATCCGAAAGTCATATGATGGTTCCTGTTGCAAGAAACAAATCAACACTCTTTATTCAGCACTTTGTATAAATTATATTAGAACTCATTGGTGAATGATTGAATGTTCGTGTTACATGGAATGGATAGATGTTAGATGTGGTGTGATAACGAGTTCTTGCTTACATCATTCCTTGGTGTATGACTGAATTACGACGAGTCTTGCAAATGATCAGATCAGTCCACTGTACAATGACGATTGCCATGAAGAAGGCAGTGTGACAAGTGAACTCCAACACCTTCCTCTGGCCATAATTCTTCAGCAGCGAACAAAAAAAATTGCATAAGAAATTAACAAAATTTATAATCCTAACCATATTTTAATAACTTTAAAATTTCGACGTAATTACAATTTTTAACGCTTCCAAGATTCAACATCATCACTCACCCACTCCTGACCATAGGAATCTTCAATATCAGTGACGCTCTTTGAGTCCCACTCCCTTCTAAGTCCAAACAACCGCTTCGGCCAGAAACCATTTTCAGCCATGATGACGAAGTAGGTGAAGAAACCTGCAGATGCCTGGATCATGCCAATCTGGCCGTAAGCCATGCCAATTAACCTGGTTTACATTATTATTTTTGTATCAGAAAATCTGCTTATAATATCAAAGAGCTACACAACCATCTGAAACCTGCTGTTGACAAGTTTGTCATTGATGGGATCTCTGGGCATCCTCTTCATGATGTCACTTTCAGCCTGTTCGTAGGCCAACGAGATGGCGGGCACCATGTCGGTTCCCAGATCTATGCAGAGGATAGTGATGGTACCCAGTGGCAGAGGAACATCGGCAATGATGAAAAAGAGGAAAGGAGATATTTCAGGAATGTTGCTGGTCAAGGTGTACGCAATTGACTTCTTCAGATTGTCAAAAATCAACCGACCTGAAAAAAGAGTCAAAGATTCATCAAATTTATTCCCATTGACATAAAACACGTCACCAGGGTTATCTATTTTTATGATAACACAAACAAATGAATCTATGACAGTCGGAGAGAAATCAACATGACGATATGTAAGCAATATGGAAATGAAAGCTGACTGAACAGAAATAAACACGGAAATGACACTATTTTGCTCAAAAAAGCAAGTAATTGTAAGGAAGAGATTAAGAAAACTGACATGATAAAAACAAATAATTTGAGACCTAAAAAATAAAAACTTGTTTCCAAAACAACTTTTGAATTAAAACAAAATCGATAATGTCAATATTGGCAAATTTAAGACGCTGCAAAATAAGAATTTTTTTTATAGTATCAATTAAAACTTTATATTCCATAGAGAATCTACGAAAATTTCATGACTTGTGGGAATCGTATTCAGAAACGTTTTGAATCTTATTATTCCTGTAAATTGGAGTACTCGTGCATTTTTAGATTTTTTTATTTGTTGCTAAATATCGAAAAATCATTTTATTGCCAAATGACGATGCGCGCAGAAATAAAGATTCAGCTTGACCTCAGTTTTGCAGAGATTAGTGGTTAAAAACATGCAACTTCGTACAAAATTTAGTGAATAATACCTCTCAAAATGACTAATCTTATTGTAGCAATGGGAAATAATTTCCAATAAATGACTCTTTCACGAATAAATGCAAAAACAACCAACAATTTAGTTTTTGGCAAGTAAATGATACTAAGCCTGATTATTATTTTTATTCATAAGAATAATAAAAGATCTGTTTACCTTCCTCCACTCCAGTAACAATGGAAGCGAAGTTATCATCGAGCAATATCATATCAGCTGCCTGTTTGCTCACATCCGATCCTGCAATCCCCATAGCAACACCTGTCAATAAATAATTCAATGAGAAATCAAAACAGAACATGCAATTAGCGCTGTTGTACCGTTAGTAACAAGCAATAAAAAATGTTAGCAGTAGTCAACAGATTCTTCCAATACGTTATGTGAACATTGATTTCATTAGCGTAACTAATTACTGATTTAACTATTTTCGTTTGTTAGTATGAGACTGATTTTGTTCCAATCTTAAAACTATTTCAAAATTGATTGAAGTGGTGATGTAGTTTATAACAACCGATGTCTGCCTTCTTGAGAGCAGGCGAGTCGTTGACACCGTCTCCAGTGACTGCCACAATGGCACCTTGTCGCTGGCACCCCTCAACAATGATGAGTTTCTGCTGGGGAGATGTCCTGGCAAACACGATTTCTGAATGGTACTTGAGTACGTCATCAATCTGTGCCGGTGTCATGTCCCTCAAATCTGTTCCATGCACAACGCATGCCTTGGCCTCTCTGCAGTTAACCATCGACAGTTTGTTCGGTTAATACAAAGGGAAAATAATTAGGAACCTATACTTAATTAATTACTAGCAGAATTAAGCATGAAATTTCATTCGCCATGTTTTATAATATATCTTCAATAAAGTTCAAATATTGAGACCTCGGGTTGACTTGGGAAACAGGAATTCCTTTCCTTACAGCAATGTCCTCCACTGTTTCATTACCCTCTGAAATGATGCCGACACCTTTCGCGATGGCCTTTGCAGTGATTGGATGGTCACCTGTCACCATGATGACCTTGAAAACAGAGAAATATAAAGCGTTCAAATCCGACTTTTTAAAGAAAATGTGACACAAAAAATAAAGAAACTGGAATCGTGATGTATATTTTCAATAGAAAATAATCATCAGCATCATGAAATGAATAATCTCGGCAGAACTATCACCTTAATGCCAGCACTCCTGCATTTGCTGACAGCATCAGGTACGGCAGCTCTCGGTGGATCAATCATGGCCATCAATCCAACAAAGCGAAGATCAGTCAATGGAAAGTTTTCAGCATCGGCATCAAATTTATACCCCTGCGGTGATGATTACGGAAAAAAACTAAAATGTAGTGATAATAATAAATACAGTTCATTCTCAAATTATTAAAACAAAATGGAATGACTCAAATTATAATTCTCTTCATTTTACCGTGTGTATTGGAAATATGAATACATTCTAAATGTTGTACGTAACACAAAAAGGCACACATGGTTTCACATGATCATGTTTTAAGAAGACAATTGAGCACAGATGGAGTCAATAAAATTGAATTTGCGTAACTAACGATAACTACATAAAAACAGCCTTTCAAATTGTTTATAACATCCTCAAAAACGCTATATAATTCATTTTTTCAATTTTATATATTTTAATATCTGTGAAACCGACCTTGGGGAATTTAGATTTTGGTAATTCCAAATCACAAAATCCAAGAACTCTTTCGCCCAAGCCTCCAAGCTCCAAATATGATTGGTTGAAAGCGTCTTTCCATTTTTCCGTCATCTTCTCATCCACACCATTCATCAAGATTGTCTGAGATCGCTCCAAAATTCTTTCAGGAGCTCCCTTCATTACCAGCAAATAGTGTGAATTCTCTGTCTCCATTTCATGTATGGAAGCCTGTCAAATGATAGAAATGAATATGAATAAAAAAATTTCCTGAAGATAGTTTAAAGGGTATGATGACACAAAATGCCAGTCAATTCAGCCCGATTTCTATAACTAAATAAAAAAAATGAAAATAATAACATCCTATATTTTCTTCAACATTTACAAAACATTATGATTAAAGGGTAATTTATTGATTGCAGCAAACTTATTGTAATAAAAAGTTATGAAGAGTCTGAATGGTAAAGGACGCACGACATGAAAAGAATAATTGTGCACGGACCTGGTACTTGTTAGTTGAGTTGAAGGGTATTTCACAGATTTTGGGATGAGCAGCTCTGTACTGAGTGACCTTGCCAATGGATAATTCAACACATTTCAACAATGCCGATTCTGATGCATCACCGTTGCACTCTCTAAAAGTTTTTGTAATGTGTAATATTTTCGCTATTTATATCTAAATGTTAACAGAAGACACAAAGAACAATTTTTTTAAATTCTTGAAAGAAACAAAAAATACAGATAAATCTTTTTGAAATGAAAAAATTCATGTAACAGATTCCATTAGTTGCTGAAATATTTTCAGTTAGAATGATGTGCCAAGTGTTCAAACGTGACAAAAAACTATCACGAGAAGTCTATTAATTGTAAAGCACTTTTTTATGCAGTGCAAGTTGTCTAACCATTTGTCAAAATGTGCTTCAGGTTCAAAAATATTAAAATAACAATAATATTATTACTGAGGCGTAGTAATTATGTGGAACGTCCATAATAAACAAATGATCCAGCATTTAAAAAATTAAAACAAATAAACGTTTTATACAAACCTTTTCAAAACAGGGAACTGATCTTGACCTTGTTTGAACTCTGCCCTGTTGCACAACATAGCTATTCGCGCTAAAGCCATCCAGGTGGCTGAATTTTTGTCATACGTAGCATCTGTGAAATTAACTAGCAAAAATGAATAATATATATAAGAAACAGCAGTACCTATCAATAAAAGAATAAAAGTCAACTTTACTAAGATTTCTTCTCTGCCATAAATAAATTCAACCTTACCTAATCTCTCATATTTTAAAATATCTTAGAATGAGGTTCGTTTTTTATAAAGATGATATGATAGTTTTAAATGATAACCGCCAAAAGCTTCGACAAAATATTTCCAAAACTTGAAAATTGTTAGACTTAAATTGATTTAAAGATTTACTTAGGTAGTTAGTGCACGTCGTCCTCGCGGCAATGTTATAGTATTTATTTGACCTCTTAAATGTTTTGCCAAAATAAATTACTAATTAACTATTTAAACATTAGATAACATTGCAACAGAAAACAGAAAACAGACTTGACTGATCATCGCTGGTGTCCGCCTCGACGATGTGATCATCGAACCACATGTGAGCCACAGTCATTCTGTTCTGTGTGAGAGTTCCAGTTTTATCAGAGCAGATTGTTGACGTTGATCCAAGAGTTTCCACAGCTTCCAGATTCTTCACCAGACAATTCTTGCTCGCCATTCTTTTAGCAGTCAATGTCAAACACACCTGTTATTTAAATCCAAACAAGGCATGCAATTTTCCAAATATTATGTTATGTTCATTAAAACAATTTTTATAAATAAACCAGCTGTAACAGTAACAAACCGTAACAGTAGCCAGCAGACCTTCAGGAACATTCGCCACGATGATACCAATCAAAAATATGACTGCATCCAACCAGTTGTAACCCAGGATGAACGCAATGATGAAGAATGTAACACCGAGGAAAACGGCAACAGCAGTGATAAGGTGTATGAAGTGGGCGATTTCTCTTGCAATGGGTGTTGATCCTGTTTCCAATCCAGAAGCCAACCCAGCGATCCTGCCCATGACAGTTCTGTCTCCTGTGCTGACGACTATTCCTATACAGGTGCCTAAAACATGTTAAATTAAATCTCAGTATTGATACAATCGTTTTGATTCTATGATAAAGACAAAACAGACAAAAATTGACCTTCAACAGCATTTGTTGAGAAGAAAGCAATGTTGCGTGTCTCCAATGGATTATCGTTAGTGAATTCCGGAGTTCGAGTCTGGGGTTCTGATTCTCCAGTGAGAGACGAATTATCCACCTGTTTCATGATTCAACAACATTTATGAAACCATTTTATATTATTAACAAAAATAACCACATTAATTCCACAAGGATTAGATTTATATAACAATACATAAGAACAAAATAAAAATGATGAACAACATTTTCAGAAAAATAGATCCTTAGTTTTAAATATCGAACGAAATTTATTGAACAAAATTTCTTGAAGTTTATGGCAAATCGATCAACTTGAACGATCCAAAAAATTTTAAACCAATATTCATTTTAACTGAGCCAAATAAAATAATTTGAAATCACATTTTGCTCAATATCTCTGAGAGAAACAAACTAAAGATGAAAAAACCTACTTTGAATCCATGTGCACTTAGAATCCTGATGTCAGCGGGAACGCGATCTCCAAACTTCACCTCCACAATGTCTCCAACCACCAGCTCCTCTGCATGGACATTCAACTTCTCACCATTGCGAATCACTATGGCAAACTGGTAGTTGAATTACGTTTTTGAACAATCAACCAATCTTCGTTTTGCGTCCAGAGACCCGGTTTCCCGAGGTAGGACGTTTATATTTGAACAAATATAAAAATTTAATGTCGTCATATCCACCGTTTCTACAAAACAAAACGAAAAATGTTTCTAGAAAGTTATTTATATTAATTAATAAAATTCGTTCTAGTATCTATCGATTTTCTAAACATCTTTCCTCCCAATTCTCAGGCTTCATCTTGAATCGATCAAAAACACTACCATAATAATAATTTTTTAAATAACTAATATTCTATGAACTTTTTGATCTGAAACAGGTTTTCAATTCCACTCGACAATGACACTCGTCATCATCTCATATTCGTTCTCATCCTGCTCATTGATAATTTTCATTGGAAAAATCTCATTGTACATAGATAGAAATTTGTAACTGGCGGGCAATTGACTTTAAGCTGGGCTTATAAAGTTTCTAATAACTTTACACATGACCATTTCATTTATTTGTATAAAATTTTTCATCCTGTTACAAGTTCCAAAAGTTTTCCTTTCTATTATAATAATTCTTGCACAGTTTGAGATGCATCTCAGTACATTGACAAAAGTAAATAAAGCGTCATTTAATAAGCCTGTATTTCTAGTTGAATAAGCTTTTTAACTTGAATTACGCTTTTGCGCGTGTGTGTGCGCCTGTTAAAAATTAGCATGGCAAGTGCTTATAAATATGTAGATTTTGAACATGTTGCACAGGCATGTAAGCGCATTTATAATCCAACGTAATCCGGCAATAATTGCATGTGAATATGAATGTATTTGTTGCTTTATGATCTAAACATCATGTCATACTATTTAAGCTAGTACACATGTAATGTACGCATGTAGTTCATTATGTGAAATTTTTCTAATTAAAAATGGAAAAAATATAGTATTAGTTGAATGTATACAATAAATTGTTTTATTTGATTGAGATGAAAATTTTAAACAAAAAATTCCATCACAACCTATACAGTTTAAAAGTTCTCTAAAAATAAAATAAATGTAGCATGCATCACTCAAACTAAACAAATTTACATACAAATGGATGGACTTCAGTATTTTTATAAAATCAGAATTTAGTATTGACCCAGTTATTCACTCTTTGCGCACAATGATAAAAATGAATGGAATTTCAATTTTATAGTTAATCTACAAATTTCAAATAAAACCATTTGACTGACAATTTTTTAGAGTCACTGGAGAATTGAAAGTTATGTGAATTGTTGGTTGCATTGAAAATAGATGAAAATAATGCTGGTTGTTAGACAGACTAGCCATCATCATTCAACTTTAACTTTTTGTTTATTTTCATAGATTGGAGCCAATGGGGTGGTCCAATAAACACCAATGTATCGTATGTCAACCAACTATTTTTTATCACATATATTTATAAATTATAATCAGATCAAAGCAGAGAAAGAGTATTTATGAAACATGTTCAAACATGAAACTTGATGAAAACCAGGCTCAAAAAATGAAGTTGGAAAATTCAGCAGAAAAAGCAGCCTTAGCACAAACAAATGTGATTTTGTTTTCAATTGTAATGAATAATAGAATAATCTGATAAAAATTTTTACCTCATCAAGTTAAAAACGTAATAACGACCAGAAAAAATCTATGTGGATTGTAAGATTTGATAAAGATAGTTAGATTGCACTAAACGTGTGCATACCCATATGCAAATTTATTTCATTAACATTTATGTAAAATATGTATTGTAAGTAAAATTTAGAGTGAATATAACAAACCTGAGGCACAAGATTTTTGAAAGATTCCATGATGCGAGAACTTTTAGCTTCCTGGTAGTAAGAGAAGCAGCCAGTGACGACGACCACTGCTGTCAGCACGATGCCTAGATACAGCTGATTAGGAAATAAGAGGAGCAACAATTAAAATTTAAAATGACCATAGATGAGTTTATTTTACATTTACTTTTATTTTTCAGTGCTGAAACAGCTAGAACTGCCTATTATATAATTTCTGAGTTGCAAATTAATTTTACTAAAGTAAATTTTCAACATCCAAAATAGCGTTAAATTACGTTATCTTTAGAAGGATCTTCTGATGTCGTTGCAACGATGGAGTAAGCAAAAAAGCAGAGGATTGCACCAATCCAAAGCAGAATGGAAAAACCGCCAAAAAGTTGCTTACAGAATTTCACCCATTCAGGAGTTGTTTTTGGTGGACTGAGCTGGTTTGGACCATCTCGTTCTAATATCTCCTTAGCTTTCGCCTGTGTCAGACCCTGTGTTTGAAATAATCGAATTTATAGAAAAAAACTTTAAATAAACTTCATTTTTCCTAATTTGAAATAAAGTAATGTCGAATAAACAACAATAAAACTTATAACTAAATTAATAATTTCAAATCATAAAAAAATAATTTCAAATCATAAAAAAATTATTAACAGTGGTGAAGTTAGTTCCCAGCCTCTGCTGCAAGACATCAAGAGGTATCTTGTGCTCATCCTGTCAATCATTTGTTCATGTGTTCAAGTCCTCAATGTATTAATATAGAAGAATATAATGATGGACGGTGATGGATGGTGATTTATCAAACTGATACATTTTAAACCATTTCAAACAGTTATTAACATTCCAATAAAATATTTGTAAAATCAAAAAGATTGCAAATATTTAAAAAATATGCTAGTTAAATTATGTATTATAAGCAGTTTGTTAGTCTCTGGTTTCTGTCAATTTGAAAGGTTTAATTCCAGTCATCGTGGTTAACTTTTTTCTACACTTTACATTGCCTTTGATTTAGACACTTTCACAAATACATATAATAAAGGCAATTATCCTATAAAAATATCATCTAAAGCTATGTTATTGAAACTACGGTAATTATATATTTGAAAAAATTTGTCACATGAAAAAAAACTATTCTGATTTTAAGAGTTCATTTCCCCCTGTTATGACATAAAAAAGAAATGAAATGACAATATGAAGCTGTATAGAATTCAACAGGTTGCAACAATCAAGAGAATGAAAACTTGAATAACTAATTAACAGCAGCAAGTTTGTCATTGCACTGACATTGATGAAGGTTGTTAAATGTTTGGTAAATTAATGCAAGTCAGTCGGCCATTCGAACTGCAGCATAATATTAACTGTATATTAATGGAGATATGTTAATTAGAAAATGATATCTACATGCTGAAATGCTAATTTGATGCTGAACGGTTAAGTAGAAAATTAATAGAAATTGGTTTGTGAAAAAATCAAAAAATACAATTAAATCAATTTCTATATAAAAACATTAATTAAGATTTAAAAAATTGTACAATAACTCTAAACAACTGTCTGAAAATATATAAGAAATTTGTAATTAAAATATTAAAGTTGTAAATCACAACAGAATTTTATGTGAATCAAAGCAATGAAAATAAACATCAATGTCAGCAGTTAGCACTAACAATAAGCCAACTTAATTAAATTTTGAAATAATCCTAAGATAAACAATGAACAGATTATAAATACAAATATATAAATTAACAAAGATATTCGCATAGGTACATAAAAAGAAGCAAGATACAAAGTGGGATTAGAAGCAGTAGAAGCAGCAGCAGCAGCACTAACCATTTCAACTTCCCTCTTGAGGTTCTCCAAATCTTCCTTGCCGACCTTCTTGGGAACATTCTTCTTCTTTCCATCCTTCACAGGCTTGTACTCGTATGCCTTCCCATCACCCTGTTCATTTAAATGCCAGTTGAAATATAAATTGATTGACAAGATCATGCTGAAAATAACGAAAGACAAATTATAAAACTAACATTAGAGGCAATTTTTAATGGTTAAAAGATCATCCAAGATGTAACCTCAATGAAACTATATCACATTTGTCACTGATATAAGCATGTAACGTGGAAAGGCAGACATTTTAAATTTTTAATTAATACAAAATTGCTTTCAGAATATTGAGCTAAGTTGCAATAGAAAATTTTTGTATGACATATGTCGTGAAAGGTAAAAAATTAGTAGTTTCAACATGAGGTAAATGTTAAAAAGAAATAAAAAAAAATGAAAAATTAGCCAACTGAGCCAATTACAACAATTTAAAGTTTGAGTAGAGAATTTACACCTGAATGGTGATAATAAACTTCTAACATAGTATATGAATTATGAAACATTAATTCTCAAAGTTATATATATTTACTAAAAGTTATAAAAAAATTTATTAACTTTCCTAATAAATCTCATCAATGTTTTTTGTCCATTGTGCAACATAAATTTGGTTAAAAACATTTTTAAAAAATCATAAAAATGTAATTGGATATATTCATTAATTTCTGGCGAGATAGTGTGGTATTAAAGGGTACTCTGTTGAATTGTTCTGGTATTAACAAAAGAGGTTATTCCTTATCATACATCTGTGTGCTAATGTGCCATGTGATAGACATGCCGTGTGATTGTGTAGAATCAAGAAACACCTCAAATAACAGACATGTTTTAAAAATTGATACTCTCCTTTTTCATAAAAATTTCATTGAGTCTATTCACTTAATTTATTGATTTAAAATTTGATGCAGACGGATTTATCTGCCAATCTCAAAACTAGAGTTAAAAAACATAAGTTGATGTTTTAATTAAAATCAATCAATTAGATTAATAAATTAAATAAAATATGATGAATGAGAGCAAGTCACAGAAGCAAAGATTCCACATTGAAAAGATACGTATGGAAATGTTCCAAACAAGAATATGTTTGAAGATAATGAATTTATAAATTTAATTTTAATAAATATATAAAATTTACATAAAGTAAAAACATGTTGATGAAAAAAATAAAAATTAATACTTTTACAGACAACATTGAAACCTTGAATATTGAATGTAATCTACAAAGTTATAAAATTAAATTAAATGTAATGATCAACAAAAAAAAGTATATACAAACTTTATTATTAGACATTATTTACTATGAAGAAATAAATGTCAGTCAGTTAATAATAATAACTATTATTAATGAGTTAGATAAACAAGTTCAACAACCCAATAAAAAATTGAAAATTAGTTTATTAAAAAAAATTTTGAAAAATTTCTTATAAATAAAACGTTCAATCCCCCATAAATTTGATCAATCAGCTAATGCTGTTAACCAATTTATGAAAGACATTTCAAACACAATCATCTTATATACTGAAGTGTTGGACCTCTCCAGTATATTTGCATTATTTTATAATGCTACCAATATATATGCAATGAGGAGATACTTTGAATTAAATGCCTTTACAAAATAATTACAGGCAGCCAGGCAGATAAATTCACAGACAAATAATTGCATTTGAACTTCACCTAAGTATATATATATATATATATATATATATATATATATATATATATATATATATATATATATATATATAACGTGCTTATTCACTTTTGTGATTATTATAGCAGTACACACACACAAACGCAAGCATTAAGGAAGGCATACACATCTGAGCTCATGAATGAATAAAAATGTATATGTATATACATATATGTATATTATATATATATATATACATATACATATATGTATATTATATATTTATATATATATATATATATATTTACATAAACATAATTTTTTTCAAGCGGAGACAACCCATATTTTGCGAACCACATAGAAAAAATCAGTAGATTATCAAGTTGATGATTTTTTAGTTTCTTAAGAGGATTTTGACAAAGTAATGCAACATTTAATGAAAAACATTAAAGACTTTAGCTAGCTCAATAAAAAGGTCGATACCGAAATAAATGTAAATGTTTTATGTATTCTTCAATTAAGCATTACTATTATTATTATATATACACGGCATAATTGTAACAGTTCCCAAAAAATCATATTTTGATGTGAATGATTTACATATTTACAGACAAAAAACAAATTTTTAGTTTGTTTCAAAAGTCATTGAACGAATCGTTGCGTGAATTACCAAAATACCTGACGCGTAACAAACAATTTGTTGCATTCAGGTTACAGATAGTTCCATTCCACAAAAACTGATCTGCTGCCAATATTGTCGATGTTATATGGGGCCATCCGTGCACAAGATACTTCATCGTTAGCGTTTCTTGATGTGAGTGTGGCCTTATATTTTGTGGATCATGATATTTTATCGTAACAAATTTGCTTGAGCTTCGAGATTACAGAAGTTGCTCATTCATGATTCAACATTCAATTTTTATCTGACAAAGAGAACGTAACAGGTTTTGTTAAAAAATGAGAATTATATCAGGTGTATCACAAAAGTCGCGGTCTTGGGATAGAAACTGTTTCTGTTATAAAGGTCTGACGTATTAGAATGATAGATAAATCTGAGATTTTCGGTCATGCTTTCGCGGATGACATCCAAATGATTGTCAGCTACTCAGCAAATGAATATCAAAATGATGTAAATAAAATATATTATTAAAATGTCTGAGGGAGGTGAGTGGATGGATATCAAATTGATCGACTGAAATTCAACAAATATAAGACTTATATTAACAAATATAAACTTCGTCGGCACATGAAAACAGTTGTTGAGATTTAAAATTGATTCAGTTCATAAATGGTAAGAATATTAAATTTTGAACTAACGCTTCTAATCTAAAAATTATTGTTCGTTCATTCACTCTTGACTGGACTATTGTAACAGCGTGTATTATGGCTTACCAGATAAATCTGTCAGGATGTTCCATTCAGAATCGTGAAGCTGAAATAATTCCTAGAGCGTCTACATTTGATCATGTATAGACGGTTTTGCTCAACTTCATTGGTTGACAGTCAAGCGAATTATTTGTTCGAGTATATGAATAATTTGGCACTAAAGTATTTGAGGAACAAATGTCAGTTGAAAGTATTATCTTCCTTCTGTTTGCGTTCGGACAGTGTGAACTATTTGTCAGTTTCCATCGACTCAAATGAAACTTGGATCCAGAAACTTCGCTGTTTTGCCCTAGAGTCTAGAACAGTCTTCTCAAAGACTTGCGAGACACGGTCTAAGTATTGTCAAGTTCAAGATGTTATAAAAATATTTATTTATCTTACTTATCCTGTGAAAGTAAACATGAAGTTAATTAATTAGGAATTTATTAGATTTGTCTGTTAAATGTTTTACAACTGCTGTTTTTCACATTTGTATGCGCTTTTGAAAAACTTTAATTTTATTTAACATTGTACAAATAAAATATTCTGATAATAATATATATATATATATATATATATATATATATATATATATATACACATATATATATATATACACACATATATATATATACAATGTGAGAGCGTGTTTACGTGTTTACTGTTTGATATCAAATGCATGGATACTTCGATAAGATAATTTTTAAGATTTTTAAGTAATTAAACAGAAAGCAATCACTGGATAGGCAGACTTATTTAACTCGATTAACTTGACTACACACTGTTGTGTGTAATCAATTCAATACTATGGAAGTTTTATCAGCTTGCAAATCGCGAGTTTAATTTTTGGTGCGAAAAGTTTTTTTTATTTATTGATTTTCTAGAATCTAGACTGATGCTAAGCTTATGTCATTTTTTTTACCTCCGTGCAATAGTTATCTTTTTAAACCAGCAAACTCGGTACTTTCATTGATCTGAGCTAAACCGTAAATCAATACCAGCACACCACTTCTAAAGTTTTTGAACTCTTTTTTACAAATTTTATCACAAATTTTTTCCACTGGAAGAACATCCTATAATTTAGCAGGCGCCTTTGATAGTTAACATTGGCGAATCATTTAAATTTAAAGTTACGTCTAGTCAGAAATTCAATACCTACATCAACCTTTCATCAATCAAGGTAACCAGGTGCTGAAAATAAATAATACCACTACCTATAAATAAAATTCTAAACGATAAATAATTGGTTTTTATAAACGTGCTAGACAAAATTGCGATAGTTGAAATATTCGATCTGCAGAATTGACTTTTTCGTTAAAAAAACAGATATACGCATTTCATTGATCCTTTTAATCGCAGTTCATATTATTTAAAGTTTTTTAAGAGGGTTGACGCTTTATTCAATCTGCACGACTTATCTTATGAATTCTAACATATTGATATTAAAGACAGCACGACGACCCACCCATACTACACACAACAGACATTATCACACATATTTTTACATTCCAATTTATGCACTACCGGTTATAATTTATGAAAACATCATTAATTTTTAATTAGAGATTGAACATTTTCGCCAAAAAATTTTGACATTAAAGTTATTATGAATTATTTACACACTCGTGTTACGAATAATGTTGTAAATAACTATAACTATCGAACAAATTCAATTTAACAATAATTCTCAAAAGAATGACACACTTTGATTTATTACGCAAACGTGCGTGCATTAACACACGCACACATAAACATACGGATACAGTATATATAAATGTACATGTAAACATAAATACAACAGAAAGAGAAAGCTAGGCTGTTTAATGTAATTTCATAACTAGACAAGTTTACACCTGTGACATTCAATGAGTCAGTTACAGGCAGTGTCCTGGGATATTCCGCATCTGTTACAAAACATAAATGGATGAACCTGAATGAACATTTTTGTCTAGTCCGCACATATTTACCGAGCCAAAAATTTTGGGGAAAATTTTTCAACTGAAAGTTAAAATCA